CCCCGGCTGTCACAAGTACAGAGAGAAAGGGCTGTAGGCATGATCCAGGCTGGGGAGTCTCGCCGTCGAGTTGCACGGCATTTTGGTTGCAGTGTTAAGACAATTTGCCAGGTAGTAAGTCGTTTAAACCAAACTGGGTCAACATCCGATCGTCCCCGAAGCGGCCGACCCCGTAAAACGACCGCCAGGGATGACCGTCGTATACGATTGATACACTTGCGCTATCGATTCGTAACCGCAGTAGAGACTACAAGGACATTGTTTGAGCGTCGTGTGTCTCCCCAAACAGTCCGCAACAGGTTGAGGGCCTACCAATTGAAAGCGCGGCGTCCCTACACTGGACCCAATTTGTTGCGACGTCACCGTAATAATCGGCGTAACTGGACCCGTGTTCACCGTCGTTGGGCCTTACGACAATGGAACAATGTTCTGTTTTCAGATGAGTCCAGGTTTTTGTCTGCAACACGGTGACGGAAGGCGCAGAGTGTGGAGGCGACGAGGGGAGCGTTTTGCGAACTGCTGCATCGCAGAACGGGACCGCTTTGGCGGAAAAGTGTAATGGTTTGGGGTGGTATTTGTGGGTGGACTCGTACCAGGCTTGTTGTGTTAAATGGCAATTTAACCGGCATTCGATATCGGGACGAAATTTTAAGACCAGTGGTTCTGCCATTCTTTAGACGCCATGGCGTTGGCGCCATTTTTCAACAGGATAACGCATCAGCGCACACCAGTCGCGTCAGCAGAACTTTCTTGCAGCAGAATAACGTACAGGTGTTAGATTAGCCTTCTTAACCACCTGATTTGTCACCGATTGAGCATGTCTGGGACGTTCTTGGGCGACGCGTGAGAGAACGTCAAAAACAGCCGTCAAACTTTCAGGAGCTGGCCCAAGCCTTGATCGCTGAATGAAACAACATCTCTCCTCGAATTATCCGCCGGTTTACGAGTTCCATGCGACGACGCTGCAATGCTGTTTACTTCGCAAACAGTGGCCATACCCGTTACTAATGGTGTTACCTTTGAAATTGACCCCAAAGTCCTTTACAGTCGAATAAAATCAACTGAACGCAAAGTTTTATAATGAACCATGACTGCTGTTTTATCAGAATTGATAAATTACTTTATTCGTACATGATTGGTAAGGATTTATGAAGGGGTTAATTAATTAATCACAGAATAAAGTAGTGTTACCTTTCTTTTTTTGTTTAGTATATGTACAAAAGAAAGATTTACACGAAGATTTCTGAAAAAAAAGGTGTTCCGGAAGAGTAAGCGTCTTCTGCTTTATCGACGACACCCGCCATGTAAACATTAGTCAATCCAAGTAAGTAATGTCACGTTCTCAAATGAGAGCAAGGTATACAACAACGGAACCAACAGGCAAACTTACGAGCATTATGTGTTGTGTTTTCTTGTTTGCTTGTGTTGTGTTTGTCAGTCAATTGACGACTTCTTGCACGAAAATCGTAAAATAATATAAATGTCAAAAAATTTTATTGATTTTGTAAATATTATATGATTAATTGTAAGATTTAGAATTAATTATTAACAATAGTTTTCCAATGCTAAGTCTATATCACGATGACAGTTCAATTACTTTACATAAGAATCTCAGATATGTGTAAAAAAAAAAACATAAATAAACAGAAACGAAAAATAAAACTGTTTTCTTTAGCCTTATGGTGAAACCATGTTTTAGCATATCATATGTAGTTGTAGATTTCGTTACATACTTCATTTTACATCATATCACAGGGAACAAATGTTACTAAAATTATTTGGATAAATTCATTGTTATTTTATGGTTCTGATATGATCAGAAGTCATCAATTCCTTAAATTTAATTGCATTTGGACTTGTGTAATGACATATCATATTCTGATATTTTTCTTATGTCCGGGTGTAGACTGACATTAGCTTTCAGCTTGATCTATTCGGGACATCTATGTCGTTTGTATTACAATGTGAGCACTTTTATTTTAGTATCCTACATATATTTCAAAATTACAATCATTTTTTATATATGGCATAACAAACTGATGTTAAAGACTTACAACTAATTTTGTGAAAATTGATGATGTCACATCTGCTTAATAATTTTATCTTTTGTGGATTATTTTAAATTAAGGATTTTATGTACTTTAGACCATGTTCATTTGAATTATTTTGTTTTAAACTTTGAATTTCCTTAATCGCCCTTAGCATCACTGACATTTTTATTCATTGTTTGGCTCTGCTGTATCTCACTCTAAGTTATGAAATGGTGCTGTTCATTTGTGTATCTTTTACACAATCTTTGTATTAAACTTAAGTATGGAACAACTTTATTTTCATTTAATGATATGACAACGATTTATTGTGCAATTGCAATAGCTTGTAGTCTTTCTTAAGTTTAATATTTTTCGCTATTAATTTCACTCTTGTTATACCAATTAAAACGGAAATGTGAACTTGCTGGTGTACTGTTCACGATAAACATGTGATTTTTTTGAACTTGCAAAACTAAATTACAATAATAATAATAATAATAATAATAATTAAATATTGTTAGTCATCCCCTTTTTGCTGGCTATTACAATACATAGAAGTCTTGACACTTAATGTTATATGTATTAAGTGTTTGTAACCTACGTAATTATTAGGTGCGTTTCTCTTACTTTCTATTACTTGAGTCTCATTATTCCTGCAAAAAAATCAGTTTGTAGTATTTCTTTACGTTGTAAGGTGCTTAATCATCAGATACAATATTTTGTTTCTGTACATGTATATATAATAATATAATTCAGTACTGAATTGTCAAAGTAAATTATTCACTTTTCCCTATTGAAATTTCACGTATGTATCGCTTTAAATAACAGCATTTCAATGTCGTCAAAAATACCATTTATCTAATACGAAGAAATTACTTGGATGAAACATGGGTAAATCTTACGTGAAAATGAGAGGGAAAAAAGACAGCTTATATGAAACGGTATAAAATTAACTTGCCATTGTATCCTAAAACAACACAATTCGTTCGTCTGAGCTGATACAATGCGTCTCAAACTTAAGTTTTAAGCTGCTAATAATCATTCATCGACAATTGCCATGTAACTGTTGGTCAATACAAGTTAAAACAACGTCGCCAAAAAGCACATTAACGAGCTTCGAAGAGGTCCACCTTCATTTCGCACAAAGAAATTTCTCAATTTCGTAATTCCGAGTTACGAGTGTGTTTGTCACTTGACGACTTATTAAACTTGAAAATCGCGATAATGGGAAAAACCCCTTGAATATCAAATCAACTGCGACACGTAAACACCATAGGTTGGGCATGCAGGAATGTTGCTATCAAGAAACGGAATATTCAAAATAGGGAAACTGAAATCGTCGAGCTCATCATATAGTTTTGTGAAAAACTGTCCATGTTGTTTTCGTTTAAGGAAAACATCCAGATAAATGGTTGATGAAGAGAATATCGTCTGATTCTGATTCAGAGTTCATCACTGATACTGGCCGCCTTGTCTAATTTTATCTTACCTTGTCCTAGGAGATCCACTTTCCATCGTTGTTATCAAGCACAGAATTGTGTAAGTATGGACAGTTAGTAACTGTTTCTGTCTTCATCCTTAAACACAGCTGGACCCTACGTTGGGACAGCTGCATTACATTCATTATTACCTTTCTAATATGTAATATGATAACTGATGGCAATATTTCCTTTTTCTTTTTACATGTTTTTGTAGTAGTCAATCATGTGGATATTTCATTCATGTAATTTCCATACCTTTACTCTTATATGTACGTCAGTATACTTGTTCATATCTTTATGGGGAGCTTTTTTTATAGGTTTTACGTGTTGCCCAATTCCATTTGTCTATAAAAGACAATGAAATATTCTGGGGAAAACAATTAATACAATTTGGCGGAAAACTGTCCATGTTGGTTTCCATACGTCAACAATATACCTGAAAGTGAAAATAAACGATTATGCAGTGTCTTTGTGGCCTGTTCCGATAAATGCATGAAATCAAAATCAAGTCAGCCAGCCAACAGAGGGGCACCGTAAGTCTTCATATGTATGCCGATATTCTATTGAAAGGTTTTAACACCACACTCGACGACGGTGTAGACCAGAGCCTTGATAATGTTTTATGATTCAGTCTCCGCTCTCTGTCTTCTTTGACTTGGACGATTTTTTTTCGCTGCGGTTTAGTAAAATGCAATATATGTGTCTTCTCACAGCATGAAATAACACTTAAGTAAAGGCTAGAAAGTAAGGCAGTGACAAAGGCGTATTAAGAAAAAAGATAATGTCCTCACAACAAGTAGGGTCATATGAGGTTAGCACTAAATACGTAGTACGCCTATGTTGATACTACTGATAAACGCATATTTTCAAAAAACTAAAACAGGTTTTGCGTTATCGGAATGGCCTTGATAAAATTGATTGTTAATAAAAATGTAATGATCACGACGAATCAAAAACGGTAAGGTCCTCGGTGTGTTTTATATTTTATCAAATGTAATTACCTGTGTCACATGTGTTTGTAATCATTACATATCCATGATCATCAAAGAGTGTCAATATTTAGCTATAAAGCCAACCATGCCACATTTAATTTCCTTACAAATAACCCGTTTATCACATATTTTGGTTAACGTTTCCACATTTCACAGTTATTAAGTGTCATTCATACATCATTTTACTTAGATCTTCGGAAAGGTATTAGAGAAACATAAAGATAAAAAAAAACAACAGGTTTGTACGTGCTTGGGTGCGGTTTATTATTCTCCAGTCAAAACACTGAGTACATCTCCGATAAAGCCAGTGAAAGTATACTTTCATTTTTCCGTCTCAGCATGTTAAGCATCAGCGCTATATTTGCATTTTGAAGACTTCGTTATGTTTATCTTTAATAGAATAAATACACCAAGGCAAATAGGATCACCACAAAAACATGCTTACTTCTCTTACATGGACGTACATGTTAAGACTTCATAGATCCATATGAAATTGTTCATTCATACCCGAAGTTGATCTTCAGACCTAGTTCCACAACCTTCTTCGCGTATACTTGATCGAAGTGTTCACTTTGAGCAACAGTAAACATGTTTTTCCATTCTCCTGGTTGACCTACAATAAAAGCACAAAGATGCAAAAAACAAAAAAACAAAAAAAAGATTGCTCTATCAACAACGAACATTATCCATTCTCCGTGTCCTAAAACGTTGCTCAGGTCTGAGATCTGAAGTCTTACTATACTGCACACTGAGAAAGAAGATGTCTAGTATTATCATATTTTCGTCTTCTTGTTGAATGTGTAGACAAAAGCCAGACAGGCTAAGATGCCTCAAGGACAACTCTATAGTGCCATTACTATCATGAAACAAAAAAGACTCATTTTATTGAAAGATGCAAATAATTTGTGTCATCTGCACATTCCTTGGAGACAATCAGCTTTACCTTTTCTGTATATTGGCAGTCGTCCTTCGTCGCAAATTTCTTTCCACCGGTCATTGGATGGTGTTGTTTCTATATGACTTTCTTTCAATTTTTCAAATTGAATATTTTGGGTGACAGATCGCAGAAAATCTTCGTCACGATCCACTTCTAAAAACTTCGCCATCTTGACAACGTTCTCAAATGTATTCTGAAATATATGAGGTTATGTGTAAATATCTAAGCAAATTGATAATGATACGAGTATATTAGTAAAATTTAGATACCAGTTGTTCTTAATGAGATAAATGAAGACAGGTTACCGCCTGTGAATTAGCTTTGGCAACAAGCGTTTTATCACCTCTAGCACAATGTTAAAGCAAAAATTACCTTTCTAAAATCACTGTACGAAAGGCAAAGGCAATTAGGACTTTTCCATTCCTCCAAGTCCTTTATCGTAGAAAACCACGATCCGATAAAATCTGATTTGAGAGAAAAATGGAATCGTGTTTAAATTTGATAATCAATTCTGCTTGCATAGTCATTTCGAGGTAAATATGAAAGACTTCCCCTTACGAAACTTTTTTAGGCTGCGTTCGAGTTTTCAACAGAATCATTTGTATTGGTTGAAAAGTTTGGCACTGTCTCTCATAATAGATCCGAAGCTCATCGGGCCTGTATCGCTCATCTGACTAGGTTTGATTCCAATCGCTTTAACCAAACTAGGGAGTAAGATTTTGGAAGTCCATCCCCATTGTACGCCGCCTCTTCCAATTTGGTTCATTGTTTAATTGGTTCAGACCATGAGTCTTTAATAAACTGGCTCCCTAAATAAGATTATTGTTCATACTTAATACACGTTTTCAATATCCCTTCATTCTATTAGAATAATTTTAAGAATTTATTTCTATTTGATGTATCATATGGTTTGGTTTAAAGTCCTAACAATATTGAGAATAATTCATGGACATCCGATTGTGTTTGCAAAGTGACTGTATGTATAGTATTCATGTTTTCCTATTTTCAAATCAACTGGACAGACTCAGCCTTTGAAAATGCCAAAGTCAATCATCTCCAGAAATTTAATTTTTTAAAACATAATTTCGTCAAAATTGGTTCAACCCAACAGGAGGAGGATTTCAAAATATCAACTTTATTTCCCTATTGGGATCGGCCCCTTTTTAACAATAGGCTAATGCAAACCCATAAAATATACCTTCAAACCATGCAAGAGGGACAGTAGGTACAATTCTCGAGCCCCGCCCCTCAAGCCTCTGAGGTACTTCTTGCACGAAATCGTGATAATGGGAACAGGTCATTCAATATCAAAACATAGGCCAACTTTGAAGCAGTGTCAAAGGAAACATAAGGAAGAACACAGGTTTTCTTTAATAAAATGAAACGATCACATCACAAATTTTGTTGGCTTCGAACCATGCAATAGGATCTGCAGGTAAAATTTTCGAGACCCGTCCCTCAAGTCACCGAGTTCCTAAGAAATTCCATCTATACAAAATTGTTTCCGGTTCTCCAAAGGAGGCTTGTGATAAAAATTTCGTAAAAATCCAGAAATGGTAAGATGTCGATTAATATTATATAACTGACAACGAACGAAGCGCCACGCCATAAAAATGCCTTCGTTTGTAACGTCACTTTTGTTAATACTATATCAAGTTCTCGAAATGAAGTTACCAATAAGGGACGAAAAAAGATTTTTTTGCTTGTAAAATTGTTAAGGTTATTTGGACATACCTCAATTCCACAGTGTATGTTCTCTTCAGTAACTGCGACTCAGTAACTGCTTTATTTTTCATGCTTATAAATTGAATACGTTATTTGTGTATGTGATAGGGTGTGCAACAATGTAGAATCATGTTTATAAAACTTACAATCTTCCGAGAGGAAATATTTAATTAAACCCTCAAATGTTCCTTCATATCCAACGAACGTTTTCAGTTTTTGTATCATGTGATACATTGACACAACAAGGTCCTTCGGATGGCGAGTAATGGTGATCACTTTCCCTTTACCAAGCTTCATCTGTTCGGGAAGAAACCGAAACCGCAGGTGGGAGCCAAATGTTCTTGGAGATGGCATTTCCTCAATTAGATTAAAATCTTGGAATTCCATCATCGTAGGTGTCCCGTGATATGTCAAAGATCCCGATCGTAACATCATTACGGTATTGTAGAGCCAGTGTGTTCCTGAATTACACAAAACGAGATAGAACTTTTTTTTCGTCTGCCTAACGGTAGACTTCATCAATCGATGATATTAGGTTAAATAAAATCATCAATTGTGCACAATTGTTCTAATTATTTGGTCGATTTGACTTGATGAGAATTATAGAATATCAATTGATATTTGAGTTAATAACATCAATCGGACATAAAAGTGAGCCTTTTCGTTATCAGGTTTTTCTACATGTTCAGAAACCCAGCCCAATTCTATCCAGCATTTGGATGTAATATTATATAGAAAAATTGATTGGGAGAATGTTTAAATAGCAAAAACGCCGAAGAAAATATCGACACGTTACATGAATCTTAATACAAAAGCAAAATTTATGAAACTATTGTTAAATAGACAAAAGAAAGAGTAATACTCAGACCATTGAAAACATGCAAGGGCAATTAGACAAAGTCATCAGGAAGGGAAAGCTTTCTTTCAAAGCTTTTCTTAACCATGAATGTTTTTTTTATCAGAGCTGACATGAGATACTGCTAATAATCGTCAGTGTCGATGTCCTGGCCTGTATAATAACCATATCGATTTATTTATTTAGTTATAAATATTACGCAAGTTCTGTTGTTTATGTTGTTACATTATCGAAGAATAACTTTTAACATTTTTTGTTCATTATATTTTGTTTCATTCACATTTTTCTATATCATTCATTGTCATTGGTGGCTATCTTCTTGACCATAAGGCAAATTATGTCAATACTTATAATAATAATAATATCAACATTACTTTCCTGTCAGCCATTGTCGTGAATTTTTTTTCTAATCTGTGAGCATTTTTTCATATTTTAGAAAAAGTACCATCTTTAAAGGTTCCTATAATGAACCTTGTATATTGAAATATCTTGATCTAAAGAAAACAATATATTTACCAGATTTTGGAAATACGGCAACAAGAACATCATCCTGTTTGATTTCACGGTGTGCTATTTTATCAAGCTGGTCTCTTACATTTCCAACGACATCGATAGTAAACGGATAACCTTTGTAACGTTTAAAGGCATACTTGTTGTTATCTTCATCTACGATTGTAACCAGTTCCATGACGATGGTACAAATACAACTGAAACAAAATATTTAGAGTTATCAGCTAGAATTCTTAATAACTGTGTAACATTTATATAAAATAGTTCATGGAAAGAAATTTTATCGAAATGAATACAAACATCTATGGTCAAGTGACCTTTAAGGCTATAGAATATGGTTTGATGTCAGTGTATATGGCCTCCACCTATGATCTAGTGACCTTTATCTATATGTACGTATGTGCTGATACATTTTTATCTGTCCTCTATTTTCAATTAAAGTCACAAGCACAATAACAGAATGTTTAAACTAGTTCTATTTGTATGATCTCTTTGATACCTAGGTGTGAACAGATGATGAACAATAATTTTTAACCATCACTTTGACAACAGTGATATGTTTTCCCATTATCCCGATTGACCTGCAATAAAAACAACGTGTATTATCAGCCACCCCTTCTATTGTAATGCTTTTACCTATAACATTGTTACCCGAAATGTTGTGGTTTTACGTCGTTGCAATAGCTGTCATTCCGGTAGCAGATGCATTTGTTTTAAGAATTTTGTGATAAATCCCTAATTTGTGCCCCATGGTAAATTAAAACATTTCACTATTTTCTTACTTATTAACTTTTTTCGCAATGTTTTTCTAATTCGTTAAACTAAGTACATAAATAAAGTGAAAAAGGTTTATTACTAAGAAAATAGTGAAATGCTTCAATTTATCGTGGGTAGGAATGTATGTGACATTGGACAGGTGGGGCAAAGTAATAAGGATTACTCTTCTTTGTAACCCACTTAGAGGGCAAATTATACTGCTGCTATCTCTGTACAGATCACGAGAAAATAAAAATGCCTTTATTTTACTTCATGTTGTAAGAGGCTTCTAATATGGAACACCCTTTGCAGATCGGGAGGTTTTTTCAGATGTCATGTGTTTGAAAGGCAAAGGAGAACCCAATATAGGTTCTGACTAAGACTGGGTTGCACTTTTTATTCCTTGCTTTGCTATCGTGGCCTTTCTTTCTTGCTCGTATCACCGACACTGTGTGGTATACCGGGCATAGCTACTCTGAAGGGATAAAAATCTGCAACGACAGTAAAGCAGGATAAGAAAATCCATATCATTACTAATCCTTATTTATCCAAGACATACATTGGTCTATCGCTCATGCAGACACACGATGGTGTTGATGTGGTTGTATATATTCATGACCTGAACAAGAATAAACCCTTTATTTACAGTTCACTATAATCCTCAAAGTAGTATCAGTTAACTGTACTCCATATAGTAGACTAATATTGTAGATTATTATTAATATTATTGATGACGCTAGATATGCTTCGTCTCAGTGAATTTTGGCATGTGATTTTAACTGTACTGATGATAATTCTAAAGATAGAATTCCAGCACAAACTAAATTAGATATTGGTTATAGAGAGTTTATTACACTTGTAAACAATAACAATCTAGAAGACATATGCCGGTCACAACATATTAATAGCAAAACATTTACGTTTAAACGTGGATCTTCAGAGTCTAGAATTGAAATAATTTTCACACAAATGGTTTTGAATCATCTCTGTACTCATCCAAGTATCACATTTTGTCCTTATAGTGATTACAATATGGTATCAGTCAAAATGTTACCACGTGACATAGAACGGTTTCCGGGTAACTGGAAAAAAGTAATAAAGTAATAGAAAATCCATTATTCTCAAAAGCCTTTGAAAAGTGTTGGGAGAAATGGATATTAGATATACCAAACTACAGGAATATTTCAGAATGGTGGGAAATAGGAAAAATAAAAATTAAAGAATTTACTATGGAAATAGGCAAATATTAAATTCAAATCACAGAGTAATTAAGGAATTAGAAAAAACAATTAGAAATTTCATAAGAAAGAAAATAGGAGGAAAAGATAAAGGAACTGAACGGAAAACTTAAGGAGCATTATGATAACAGAAGTTATGCGGCAGGAGTGAGGTCAAGGGTACAACATTTTGAAGAAAATGAAAAAACTACAGCTTATTTTTCTCAATTTAGAGAAGAATAATGGTTAAAAATATATTATGGTATAAAATCAAAGCTTCAGATGGTAATTACAAAAGTGGCATACAAAATATATTAAAAGAACAAGTCAGATTTTATGAAAACCTTTTTCAAACTGAGAGATGGGACAAAGAAAAAGCTGAATAATTAATGCAGAAGAAAAAGAAAAAATATACAGAGAGGCTAGAGGCATTCCAGAAAAAGTATAAATCAGAAATAAACCTTTTAATATGGAATTTCGTATGGGATGGAAAAATAAATCTAGTAAACAGAAAAAAACATGCTGTAACAATAAACAAAATGGAGGTATATATATGGTTGATTTAGAGATGTTCATCTTAAGTAAATATATAGAGACTTACAGACTTATACACTCCAACCTAGAATGTTGGAATGCCTTTGGTAAGTTTTTTCTTCAAGAATTTGATATGAACTCTCACATAAAATATTTCATCTGTTCATGCTCTAATCTTGATAGTTTCAACTTGAATAGTATAACTTATTTTTACAAACAATGTCTTAAAGCCTGGTCAAGATTCTTAAGAAGACTACCAGTGAATAGTAAAGAAGAAATTAAGAATCAACATTTATTCGGAAATGTGTTATTTAAGGTCAAGGGAAATCACTCTTTTACACCTCCTTTTTGAAAAGTGAAATATCAACTATTAAAGACATCTGGAATGAAAGAGACAAAAATTGTATTGATAGTACATCCCTTGAGAAATTGAGAAGAAAAATCAATTGGATAGCTGAGTTTTCAAATGTCAAATTATCTATTCCACAGAGACTTATACAAATTATAAATGATCATGTTTGTAAAGAAAAAGAGTTATATATAGATAACAACTTGCTTTTAGTCATTAAGAATAATACCAAGAATAGAAAAGAAATGGTTTCGTACAATTTACTTAAAGTACTACTTCTGTAGGAATTTTGAATCCATTGAACACTTATTTTACCACTGCAATTTATGTACAGTAGTTCTTTTCGAAAATTGAATACAGAATGTCAGACAACTTTCCATGGAAAATGAACTTCTTGATGTCATTAGAACTGAAGATAAATTCATGGTAAATTGTGAAGATAAACACAAACACATTAATATGACAATAACTACTTGTATGAAATACACAATATGGAAGATAAGGAACATTTTGAAATATCAACACAAAAACATTTATACAGAGTCTGCATATATATTCCATTTCTCTGAAGGATAAAGATAGTTACATGTCACTACTTACTTCCTTTTAAATTTTCAACTTTGTAGGTAGAGTCCTGTTTACAGAATTTTTTCTTGATATGAACTGTTATTTTCCTAACTACTGTTTTATGCATTAATTGTAATAGCATTGAATTTTTTTTCAGTTTTCAAATTGATATGTTAACAACACTAAAAAACGTATCTTGTTTTGACAGTGTCCGGTTTGGTAGGGCTTCCCCAAACCATTTGACACGGCGAAGTGTTTGTTTTTGTAAATTTAATGTTTATATCAGACTTGGAGATTGACAGTTTTTATGGTCTCAAGGGAGATAACTCTAACTAGGAATGAAAGGAGTGTTTAAGAGGATGAAAGTTAACATATGTCGAGTGAAAGTCCTCTTGTATGAGGACATATTTTAGATTATACTATGATTGTATCATTTTAAGAATTATTGTTTATACTAGATTAAAGTCGTAACTTGTGACTGTGATAACGAGCTGGTTATAGTAGATCGGTACACATATGTGTAAGCATTTAATATGGTGTCCTATACAATATGTTATTTCGTTTAATACGATTGTATTTCAACCCGTAGACATATACATGAATTACTGAATGGAATAAATACGTTTTTGTAGGCATTGGGGAAACATTAGTAGACATAAGTGTTCATTTCATCAATATTTCAAAATGACCAGCTTATTTGAGCAATACAAATTTCAAAATACAAAGAGGTATCACAGTAGTGTATATGTAATTTTTCATTCTTTACATAAATTGAATTTTATTTGAGGTTTCGAAGTGCCAGACAAAATTTTACATCTGTAAGACTATTTTGTATTGATCTACCACATATATAAAAAATGCAGGCTGAAATTGGATTTACAAAGTTCAGTTTTCCAGTTACAGCAAATAATACATAATAGATTTCAAAACTGTACCAGATAAAAATAATAAGAAATTTCATTTTATCAAAGTTATTTGTTTGTGGTATATAGATTGTTTTAAATCCTTTGTTAGTACATGCAGCTATATATGTAAACACCTGTGTTGTTTGAATCAAAAGACATGTGTCATAGATCTAGATCCCTAACACTACATGTTGAACATGTATTATATAGATGGGAATCTGTATGTGCGTCATCCCTGATCAAATATATGACATTTTTTCTTCTAAGATTGTTAAATCTACTGCAGTTTTCTACCTGATTATGACATATGATAAATTATCAGAGGATGTTGTACATTTCTAAGCAAAAACCATGTTATGTATTTTTTTTTCTTCTGAATTAATATCAACTACTGTAAGAGATTGCGGTTCAAATTTAGTTAAACATGTGTTGAAATCATTAATTACACATTATTGTATAGAAAGTACAACATTATAAGGATCAGTTCCTATCGTTCTTCATCAGAAATGACAATTTATATCTATACATTATAGTTTGAAAGATCCACAAACCTCTATAATCTTGAATCATCTATAATTAGGAGAGTAATTTGATAAAAATAACATCACAATGATTGTGAACCTCTCAACCCCTACTTGCATGAATGTCTGCAAATTCTTGTCTTGTATAGTGTATTCATGTAAGATTTGAATTTTCTAAATTGCTATTCATAAAGGAACTGACTTCTAATTATACCTTGTGATAATATTCCTCAATAAATTATGTCAATGTATTTATTTGTATTACTGATATGATACTGCCTTTACGTTCTTTAATTTCAGAAGAGAGTATTATGCAAAATCAGATTTAATCTAAATTATTTGTTTTTAACTGCTAGTAAGTGCTACAGTTAAAACGCTTCAATCTGGTACAAATAACTAGTTTTGGAACATCATCATAGTTTAAGTAATACTACTATTACTATGAAAGGCAAAATGTTTCTAGGGAAATGTACATATCTTTTATCATTCGGTAAGATACGGACTACAAAAAGCATATTTTGAGTATTGTTGTGTCTAATCTTTAATAACATCTTTGAAAAAATACCAGTGTCTGTTATGATCATTTAATTTAAACAGAAAACGAAACCCCACAAATAAAGTTGAAATATCTAGACATTCAGTTGACCAACCAAGTTTGAACTTATCGGCCATCATGACAACTTAAACACGTACAGAATAAACATGTTGAAAAATTAATTCTATGTTTTTACTCAATGAAGTTGATGTCCATCTGATGAACAATATCATCACTGTCTATATCATTATTTGAAAAATACCAGAGCGGCTATAAATATAACAAGAGAAATAATTGAATACTGGAAGAAACAAATGAAATCAAAACTTCTGAAAATTCTTATGTTTTTTCAGAGTTATCTACCCTGGCATCTGAAAATAGATATTGAATAATGCTTGTAATTGCATTTAGAACACTTTTTCCATAAACCAGAACTTTCAAAATGTGTATAAAATAACTTTGTATTCAATGCTTCACAAGTTAAATTTTTTATAATCACAATATTAACGTTTTGCAAAAATTTCAAATTTCTGTTGCCGTGGCAACTATAAAATGAAAAAAGAATTGACTGCAAAGATTTAATACACAAGTTCTTTTTAGTTTCATATCATATATTCTGGTGGTTTACAAAACTGTTAATTCTGTTATTCAATCCTTTTCTTATGTAGTGAAAGCTAGAAGAGCTAGCAATAAAAGCATTGTTAATATGGATTCTTGTGAAGTTAAGGGATCCGATATAAATGGAGGAGGTTCTTATCCTTATGATTAATAGACGATCTAAATAATTCTAATACCGAAGCATTATTTGCTCGTAATTCGTCTTTTTAATATTACATGATAATCATGTGGAGTTTCCTTCGTTTCCAAGCAGGGTTAGTTCTTTTCGTATACAAGAAATGTAAATGTCTGTAGACAAAGATCAAATTATTGGATCCCATATCTGCGGGCGCAGTATCATACCAATCAGGTAAATCTTAAAGAGAGGGTTTAACATCAGGACCACTAAACTGTGTTTTGTTTTCATAGGAATGGTGGATCGAATAGAGTTAACACGCTTAGAAAGCTAATCCAACTCAGTCAACAGGTTTTTATTTCACCAGTTCTCTGGCATATTTTTCAACAGATTCCATAGGTATCGAGTATTTCATATTCCAATTAACAGGGGGAATTAACGACAATTAGGACCCTTCATGAGAATTTCTTGCAGCTTAACATTTTGAATAATGCTTAAAGTGCACTTATAGTCAGTTTGATTCCTTGTGGTTCTGCGGGATGGGGACCATATAAATATCAAATTTGGTTTAAATTGGGGTTTACATGTCAAGTTTAGTATTGCCTGGTATACGTCATATTAACAACTAGTGTCATTTAAGGACATACCAGATTTGGGTGGTTGAGGAAAGCCGGAGTTCCCGGAGAAAAACCACCGACCTGCGTCCAGTTCCTGGATACCTCTTTAAGTACGCCTCGAACCCGCGACCACGTTTTGGAGGGCTAATGATAAAGAAAGTCAGACATCTTAACCTCTCGACCACAACGTGTATGTAGGTTTCTGCAAAGTTTCATCGATACTGGTTTATAGAATTTTAAGGTAAAATCGAAAATGTCAGCTGTTTACGGACACACAACGGATAAGTTGGTTAGTGAAAAAATGGATGCCAAAATTAGTCGCATATCAGATCATGAAATGGAAGAAACAGGTACAATACTTAAACCTTATACGGCATGTCTGTGCACAAATATTATCTAGATAAGCTTAAATCAAATGTAGAAATCGATGGGGTGAAGAAATATTGTGAACAGGTGACAAGTCCACTAAGAGGGTTATGAAATATCATGAACTCATGCTTAACACGCCTTCGTAAGCCAATGCGCGCCTACAAAGGGATCGATACATGTTCCATTAGAGAGCTTATAATAATGTATTCACTCCTGTCAGAAGCCGCTTTTCTCCCTTGGAGTAATTATTCCGTTTATTTCAAGGTCTTGTCGTGATTCATATAGAAAATACCGGTATTGAAAACTGCAATGTCCTTTTCATGAAAAAAGAAGTCCAGTAGATTTTTATGATGTGCTGGTGTTCATATTTCAACGTTTATAGAAACCAAAATAGACTTTTGCTCAATTGTGACACAATGAATCGTAACAAACGGAACAATGGTCAGTTTAATGAATGTCTGGATATATACTCAAATGCAAGAGTAAATATAAGCATAGAACTTCAATCATGTTGTTCTTTTTTGTTTTCTTTGAAAAAAAAACATTTATTGACTGATAACATTTAAGAAAAGCAGAAAATGTTGTAGGTAATAAAAATGACAATTTACCGTTTTTAAATATATATTTCTATGGGTATATATGGGGATATTTTTGCACTGCGGTATACTCTGTCGAATTCTAATTGTGTACCGAGCGGTGATAAACACTACACTAGAGTGTCTTTTGTGCAGTATATGGTTGTAAAAAGAGATAAATTACCTTAGACGAGACAAAGTGTGCATTTGCCTTTAACTGTATGTACAACTGTATGCAACTATTGTACATAATGTTGAGATATAGCAAGTACATTATGTAATACATCAGCATTTTTTTGACCGATATGCACCTTGTATTTAAAATGTTACGGTATATGCTCATATTCTATATAACATAATACAGAACTTCTGATATATAACTTCGCTAGCTGGCGATTAAAAGCAGGTAAGTCAACAACGCGAATTCAGTATTTCACGATTCATCTCGTTTTGTATTTAAAAGCAAACTGAAGTGCTAAATAAGCAAGAGACTATTATAGTTTAATACTTGATATTCACTTATTAGTTGCTTTGATTATTCGTGTACGTTTTGAACAGTTACTTCCATTATCTTCTACATTGGTTACCTGATTAACACATTTTAAAGAAGGTAGGTTTTACAAACAATGACATGTAGTAGTTGCAGCTTTCATTGGACAATTATTGCTACATTTTAAGATTACCATTCACTTGATACTTAATGTGTTATATTTTAGTATGGGAAATGTATATATTATTTTGATAAAGTACGGGTCTAATACATAGAAGCCTATTATTTTGACGCCTGAAAAATTATAACTATATCAATGTTTCTATTCAGCCGTTACTAACTTTTATTTATATTCATAAAAGAACATAGTATCGTTTCAATAATCAAGGAATTCATTGGATTCTTTGAGAATTCGTCTTGAAAACGACTTTTCGTGCCACAATCCTGCTATGATAAAAAGATGATAGCCAAAATGTGCTGTTTATGTACAGCTCTAACAGTTTTTGTTTCGTGTTAGAAGGCAAGTCAGACATGGATCTTGTCAGCCTGACAGACGAAGAAAAGAACCAGTACAGTTACAAAAGGTATAGTGGTTATGCTTTCCTCAAGGAAGTAGTTGGCAACGTTGGAGACCAACTGCGGGCTATATCAAAACTAGAATGCAAGCCCGATGATGTTCTCATTGGTGTATTTCCGAAGTCAGGTGAGCATTGTTGAAACTTTTTTTTCAAATCAATAATCCAGGATTTGGTTTATTTTAGTTTTGCTTTGCTTGTCGTCCCAGCATACCAGCATGTGAACAGATTCATAATCTAAATCAAGAACAAAGGAAAGATTTGCACAGCGAATCCTGAAATGGTATAAAGATAATAAGATCAATTATTCCAGTAGCGTTAACATTTTCTCTGCTTCATCGACGACAAACACACCATGTGAATTTTTGTTAATCCAAGTAAGTAATGTCACTTTCTTAAAGGAAAGCAAGTATACAGCACCGCAACCAGTAGGCAAACTAACGAGAATGAAACACGTCCAGCTTCATATTGCACAAGGAAATTGAATATTTTTTATTGAGATTACTATAACCTACAGGTTTACGATTCACTGTGTTATGAGCTTGCCATCTGACATCTTACAAGAAAATCGTGATGTCGGGAACAGAATATTGAATATCAATTCTTAACAACAGGTCAAAACACCGTTCATATTTTCACTATTTACATATGTATGAGAGAGTTGGGATCTGTTTAAATCTGTTGATTGCCATGGTCATATCTTGTAGTGCAGACTGCCTGCTTTCAGTTAGTTTTGAGTTTATCAACGGTTCATTGGACGGTATGCACTTCCTGACCTTTGCTTTTAAGTTTATATGACTATAAACGACATGGGAGACTAAGAATCACGTCTTTGCAACAGACTATGCCATATGAAGGCGATGCTGGCCACTGTGTCCTCCCCTATCCAATGCTATGATAACAATATAGTGATACACTGTAAAAACACCATTGCGTGACTCAATCATCCGTGGAAAGGACTATAATAACTTTATATTATATGATTATGTTCAATATGATGTTGTTTTAATGTTTTTTGCAATAACTGTTGAAATATAATTAAGGTACATTGCGATCCTCTACAACTCTGATAAGCTGATAATAAACTGAACAAAATTCAATAACATTGATGTTTCTTTGTAGGCACACACTGGCTCTATAATACAGTCATGATGCTTCGTACCGGATCACTGAACTATCACGGCACCCCTGTCTTAATGGAATATCAAGACATTAGTAATGTAGAGAACATGCCGTCACCAAGGACATTCGGTTCCCACCTGCGGTTTCGATTCCTTCCGGAGCAGATGAAGCTTGGTACAGCGAAAGTTATCACAATTACTCGCAATCCTAAAGACGTGGTTGTTTCTGTGTACTATATGTTGCAGAGTTTAGGAGATGTCGGATACACGGGGACATTTGAAGGTCTCTTGAAGCGGTTTTTCTCTGAAGAAAGTAAGTTTCCAGATTGATAACTTGGCCGTAGCATTAGAAAATGGCATATCATATGGCAGATTGCTTTGTTTTAAATTGTATAGACAATGATTTTGATTTTCCTGAAAACTGATGAACGATGGAATAACCGGTTGTATTATCATCTATCGATGTTTCACCATTCAGTCGGTAAACACTACACATTGCTCGACGCTCTGCTTCATGTAATTCAAATCAAAAACAGGAAACTGGTTGCCATAATACCGTTACTAGCTAGATATTTGTTTAGTGAGGTTAACTTCGAAACCCAAATACTTTTTTATCGAGGCTAATGCTGGTTGGAAGAGTATTTTACATTGCATTATACTGAGTATTTGAGATGGAGAAATAGCATATGCAGATATGTTAACACCCTTTTAGCTATATCAATATTGCCTTCCTTCAAGCATGTTTTATCAAATGAGCAATCTCCTTTCATATAAGTCTCGTTAAAGTTTGCAAAATATTTGTTTATAGCTAGGTGTTTTCGAACCATCTTATATTAATTCATACTGAAGATAAAGATATATACAGACGTCATACTAAAACGACACGTTTGCAGGTCAGGAACCAATTAAGATTTGCTCGAGGCGATTGATGTGGGGATCCTAAGATATGTTAATAAGCCAAGATTTGGACAACATTAGTGCACGATTTCAAAAGTTTGCTGAAACTAAAATGATCAACTTTTACGAAATTGTGTATAAAAGAAAATCTGAAGTAGGTGATCGCGGACGTCCCGGTACCGATTTGCCGGTACCTAATATTCGTGTCGCTAGGTCAGGAGCTGCGAGGAAACCGACATATTTGAACTAATGAAAATGAGATTATCTACAGTATGCGCGTTTAGAAGAAACTTAATTACCTTTTCGAGATACCTTGATTATTGTTTATGTACAGGTTTTTGGGGAAACGGATCATGGTTTGCTTGGATGAAAGATGTGAAAGATTGGAAGATCAGTAATATACTGTGCATTTCATACGAAGATTTTAAGCAGGTAAATCATTATAACTTATAGTATAGCCCGGAAAAAAACACAACGTTGAAACAGGGTCATTCAAAACTATGACATTTTTCATTACAGCAACTGCTGTATGGACATCTACTTTGCCAAAATGCCTAGATTGGAAAAAGTTATTATTGTGCACAATCATAAAGTGTCGATGTGTTTAGGGATTGAGTTTGCGTTTGGGAGTTGGCAAGTCCGAATTAAGTTTTGCGATATACTAAGCAAGTAATACTTATTTAAATTTTCAGGCAAATGGAACAATCTTTACTACAAAACTTGAACAAAAGATTTTAAGATATAATCTACAAACAATTATCTTTGACAACCATTAGCTTACTCAATCATTTTCAAATCAGCAATTCTTTTTGTCGGTAATTTTCGATAACTCCTGGATATATTTTTCTCGTCTTTCATGTTGAGGTGTCCTTGGACCGTTGTTGTGCTCTTTGGACTATGTGACTAAAAATGTGGCCACATTAGCAGTTAATGATTATTTTCGTTATTCGATAGGAGATGTGTTTAAATTTTATAGGAGTAAGAGCAAAGAATATAAAAAGAGGGAAACAATGCAATGTTTAAAGATCATATTAAGATCAAACGATGGTAGGCACCAAGATCCATATGATAAATATACAGTTATTGAAATGATGTGTGAAGAACCCTCAGCATTTCCCAGATTTTGTTTCTTTAGTTCCGTATTTCCATACGCTATGAAGTAAAATTCTGTGATTGGTAGATATTGACAAATGGTGAGATATCAATTTCGCCGCTCTTTCATTGCCCGTCGTACGTCTATCTTTCAAAAACTCTAGATAAGATAACTTTTCAAGTTGTCAAATTAAAAAGAAAATCTCTCCGTCTGTAGCTGTGCAAATTCATATTTAGGATTGCATAATCAATAAAATGAAAATTTACTTCTTGCATTTTTACTGATATTATTCGCAAATTTCGCATATGTTCAGTTTTGGATTTGAAATGAAAAAAATTAACAACAACAACAAATGCAGATATGAAGATAAAAATCCATGACAGATAGTTCTTGGATATCATTCCAATTTGCCTTTTCGGTCCTTATGGTACATGTTAAATACATATCAATATACAGAGGGTTTGCACACATTTATGTACAATAAACATTGTTCAAATGAAAGGTATATTTTACTCCTACATATGTAACTTACATCTGGAGTGCAGAGTCACATGGAATCATCCCCCGAATCATCATTCAATCATCTTACTGTTAAGTCACACGTGGAAACACGTAAATATGATAATGTTATGATAAACATCACCGTCGTGATGGTGCTAGTGTTTTGGGCAACATGTGAATGCGAGAATCTCTAACGACCCCGCCCCTTCAAAACAAAAGAATAAAGCACGATATATCCGTTTGTATTCATTGCCAAATCACATACATATTACATTGTACAGCTATTAACCTAAAGGCACGGCATCTATTCTTTTGAATGGTTGAAAACTGTACGTAACTAAAAGATCTCTGTATGTGAGTCATGTAAACAGACAATGTAATTACCCCAAATCAGTGACTCCTACTTCTAAAAATCTACTATGGCGACTTTATATTGGTAGGTCTCAAACCTGCCTCATGTGACTCTAGTCTTACACTGTACTGATGTTCTTTTTCTCCTTTTAGGACACGTTTGGAAATATTGTCAAATTAGCTTCATTTCTTGAAGTTGACCACGATAATACCTGTCTGAAGAAGGTTGAACAGAAAATTAGTTTCGCTGAACTAAAAAAAAGTCACAACATTGTGTCCCCAGCCAGCGAGCGATGGAAAGACATTACGGAAGAGGGACATCTCCCAATATACAGGAAAGGTAGAGCGACTGAGAAAAAAAAAACCAATTATTGTACCCGTGAAAGTGATCAATGTTCACACTTCTTTGTTCCAATTAACTTCATTTGAAATCGCTTAACATATTTTTAGTGTTTCATTCGGGACCTAGTTTTGTTCCTTCAGCGTCAACCTACTGATCTACATAAAAGAAAACTTCCGATTCTGCAGGGGCTTACAATTAGTCGTTTTGTACGAACATGCAGTGTAATACAACATACCCTATTCTTGCACTCTTCTTTGTTACCTTAGTAGAAAACATGTAGAGACCACATTGATTTTGTAATTGGTGCCTCTTACCTCTTACCACATGTGGTTGTATTCAGCAGGAATATTTTCTCGTCACTTGCATAGATCTGTTCGGAAAGATTTACAGATATACACACGAATTACCAGCAATCTTAAGTTTTTATTTGATATTTTCAGGTGAAATTGGAGAGTGGAAAAACAAATTTACTGTAGCACAGAACGAATGGTATGAACAGATGTGTAAAGAAAAATCAGAGGAGTTTGATCTTAAAATGGATATTGTCTATGAATGAAGGACTCTCATCTTCTAAAATGGAAATAAGGCACAGTAGCTATATATTGTCTGGAGGATGGGAATATAGTTTTTACACGCGCTTAAATTTTAATGTGTAAAGGTAATGAGACGTTTGAGCAATGTTTTCAACCATAGTTTTATACATATACATCAAATGTAGTCATCTGTAATAACCAAGTTCACATATCTATTTTCTAATCAGAAATATGCACTCTATTGCATGTACAAAATGAAGATTAGAATGACATTGTTAAAATTGTTATATGTTTTTTGTGACCCATTGACGTAAAGGTCAAATTTAATATCTTAATAAATTGAGTTTAATTCAGTTTATTCTGTATTCTTTTAATTCTTTTTAATTCTTCAAATGTAGCAATCAATACAAAACACAGCAAGTGTGAATTGCTCGTTGCAAGTTAATCTGAACAGAAGAAAACTACGTTTTTATCGATATAATCTGTTCAAATGTTTTTCCCGACATGCCGGTAAAAATCATACTGTATTAAATATATAACCATCAACGATATATCATTAAAATATTTACCATATGTAAATACACTAACCTCTATGCGACATGAAATATGGGTGTCTTTGCCATTGAATTGCTGAAGATTTTCAGCTGTTCCTATATTGCTAGCGAAGTTAATCAAAACATTCACAGAATAACAAAATGATGTGATGATTCAGACAACCGTAAGTAACAGCTTGCTTTTGTCTATTCAGTCTTTTTATCCCTTATTTCTGAATAGATTTACCATAATTTGTATCCTTTTCATGAGTCAAGAGACGGCAGCATGTTCAGTTTGGAAAGGTCCTTGTCGACTATAGCACTTTTACACACAAAAAAAATTAACATGAGAAATATTCAGATATTTTTTACGTTTGTCGCCTAAGCCTGTGTAAAAGAATAGTGTAAATGCCTGTAACACACAAAACCAGTATGACAAACGTCTTTGATACGCCATGCCAAGGTTGAATGAAACTGAGAGGAACCGGAGCCGTCACCGTCTTCCTCATCCTGAACAATGTAAGTGTGCTGTTCTGGTATGCACCAGATGTGTCGCCTACAGAACACGTGTGGAATGAAATACAGCGACGCTTACGTCGCCTTGAAAATCAGCTGTTGACGTTACCTGACCTAGCTCGTGATTGTAAGAATACGGAATGGTATTCCCCGGGCTATTTAAGCAAACTCGTCGCATCAATGGGCGTCGTTGTCAAGCATGCATCGATTCGAATAGTGGACATACACAGTATTGATGAGCTGAACATTATTTTGAGAACGTCTGTAAAACTGATTTCTATCCACGACGCTGCCTAGTAAGCATGTGTTAAGTAAAGGTAAGATAAAACCTTGTTGAAAGCTGTTGTGCCATCAAAGTTGGTTCCCTTAGTTTTACATTTAATCCAAATAAATCGATAACGCACTTGCCCAATTAACTATATTACTAATTTATGATCGCCGAATATTTAGCATATATATAACGTTACCTCTTATCCTAAACCTACCCAAAGATCGAAACTTCACCTACTGTGCAAAGTGTTGAGTTTTGACCTTGATTTGTATCACCTCCAAAGACTTGTTGAACAATATTGAACACAAGAGACTATCTTGTTACACTCCAAACCTTCATGTACACGTGTGCCTTTCCTAATATATAACAATCCCTAGCACGCATACAAGTAAAGCCGACGTGGCCTTTAATTACTTTATCTGACAATTATAACTGAGATGTTAAAAACAAAATCTTATATGTCCGATAGTTACTATACAAAGCTTCCAACAATATATCATATATATCCCATATACCCAAACAGATTCTTAGACGAAGAAGACTTATTGGATTCCAGATTTGGTGGTTTAGCGTGTAAACCAAACTAAATATATCATTTAACATTCTTGCTAGAATACTGATTCAAACGGTTGTAAGAACATTGAATTTTTATGATTATCAGGGAACATCACGGGCGGGCCCACCAGGGGAAAGCTGAATGTGGATACGTAAATGAAGAGACCTTGTTTTGTATAAATGATGGACTTCACCCCCTTAAAGGGGAGAAATGCAGGTAGGTCAAAAGAGAAGTTGTTTTATTCCTTCAGTAGAGTTGAAGGAATTTTACCATATTAGATCAAACATCCAGAGAGAGAGAATCAATTTGCATAAATGATTTGTCAAGTTACCCTAGAGTCTTAAAATGGATTAGGATATATCACAATATTCTTAAAATAATGCATCTGATGACTGATCGAAACCTACAAATGAATTTCAGAGAACAATTCAGTACAGTTGGGAGAAAGCTGACATTGGTGTTTACTTCACTTGGTAGTGCATACGCAATGAACAAGATAGATTACTAAACAATACATTGCGATGTAATTCTGGTACACGTTCCAGGAACGACATTTATCTAAACATTTGATTTCAACAAGTGTAAGCATTTATGCAATATCTGATGATATTGACAGAAGTATAAATAACAAGGCTTAAATATTTTGGACTTTTTAAACTACAGCATAGTACACTGGATGGGTAAATATAGCTCAAATGGTATTCGTTATTTCTAATATATGGTTGTTTTCATCATAATGTATGGATTTCCATCCAATACAAAGCACATGCAATATACATTTAATACGTGATTTAGACAAAGCCTTCAGGATGGATACATTTATCTCACACTAACAGTATTGTACAATAGGATACACGACAAGGACAACAGGTGATTATCTCACACTAACAGTATTGTACAATAGGATACACGACAAGGACAACAGGTGATTATCTCACACTGACAGTATTGTACAATAGAATACACGACAAGGACAACAGGTGATTCTCTCACACTGACAGTATTGTACAAAAGGATTCACGACACAGACAACAGGTGATTATCTCACACTGACAGTATTGTACAATAGGATACACGAGAAGGACAACAGGTGATTATCTCACACTGACAGTATTGTACAATAGGATACACGAGAAGGACAACAGGTGATTATCTCACACTAACAGTATTGTACAATAGGATACACGACAAGGACAACAGGTGAGTATCTCACACTGACAGTATTTGTACAATAGGAAACACGAGAAAGGACAACAGGTGATACAAATCTAGTACTTTCCACCCCGAATCAGGATAGTGTGAAATCTAATAAAGCTATGGGACCTGACATCGTTATATTGTACAGATTCTATAGCAAATAGATTTAGTAAGAACATGTGAGATACGTGATCAGGCAACATCCCCATTTATTAAAACGCTGCTGGTATGTGCAGAAACTGGCTTCTCGAGTCGGCCCTTCATCATTTACATTAGTTAAGTGCAACACATTAAGGATTTCTTGTATCGAAAAGAATAAATATATTGAAACGAGAAAGCATACCATGGGAGATGTGTGGAAAGTGAAAGAAATCTCTATATTAAAGGGCTACAAAGAACGACGGGCAAAAACTTTTTGAAATATGGTTGAATCAAAATGCTATTCACGAGAACACAATCTCGAACGAAGAACGACAGCAAAATTTTATATTTGCACTTGAAAATGACGATCGGTAGGTCCGGACAGGTCGATAGTTCATTGTTAATATCATGGGCTATGTGGCAAAAACAGAGTGGGTTACTCACTTAGCATCAAATAGATATGCTTTATTACTGAGGTCCATATTTACCACTTACCTGTAATGGTTTCTTCTTTTTAATAGCAAAATTAGAATGAGAGAAATATTATTTATAAAGGGAAATGTATCTCTAGTTCCTCTGTAAACATTATTGAAACAACGAGAAGGAAACTGAAAATCAGTATTTACAAAATGTATTTATGGCTTATCAACAATAAGAAGACGACCAGGCCAGGGGGAGGGGGGATCTGTGTAAATAATTATTGTTCATCATCTGTTCACACCTAGGTATCAAAGACATCATTCAAATGGAATTTTAGTATTATACGTCAAGTGTTTGTTTAAAGGTACGGAGAATTTAACAGACTATCAATACACGGTAGTAGCCTAGATGAAAACACACAAAAAATACACATGTACATACTCATACTGTGATTGTAATCTTGAGATGATCGTGTGTTATCATGACAAACACATTAACCTCTTCAGATTAGGACTTGTTTTTATCGATTTTTTGTGTATTAGTACTAGGTTGACGACCTAGGAAATCCTTGTATTATATCTATCGTCCATTTCGCAAATGACAAAACCCTATGCGAATGGTTGACATTTTTCTTTCAAAAGTTACGCAGCGTTTATATTTCTATTGAGTTAAACAAGGTCCCATGCATTTTTTTCTTATTCTCTTTTCCGAACAAATGAATGAGATCGGTCAAAGCTTGTGGCAGTACATGCAACTTCCTCACAGTTGCCATTTTTTAAGGTTATGGAAAGTACTTCAATAATCGTGACACTGTCCCTGTATCGATTTCCTTTTCGGAACATCAATTATAACGATATATTTTCCATGGAAGGACGACTCGCTATGACAATGTTGTCTTAACTTCAACTAGTATGTAATTACTCCGCGTATATAACTCATAAAACACCGATAACTTTTCCGGAACAAATTAAGTTTGTTACTGAGTAAATTCAATCACTCTTTATTTCTGGCTTCAGGACTGTTCCTCCTATCCCCATGGTATTTTACATCTTTTCAATAGAGACTGACGGAGCATGCCACCATCTTGTTTTCCTATGTTGAAAATACTGTAAAACACCTTTTAAAGCCAATTTTCATACGTATTAATCAAAGGAAAATGATAATTTTTTACTATTCACAAAACATGACCTAAAACTATATCATCGTATAGATTAAACAAGAATACTATCGATAAAGGAATCAATTGGACCAAACCGACATGATATAAGTCTTGTATTTCTCTATATTAATCATCGTATGATATAGTAAAGCCAGTTGCTTGCCAAAATAAAGAGTTGCTAATTTTGTAAACATCATGACTCTATTCTTTTTCTTTAACTTAGGGTGTCTGTCTTAGCAACAACTCGGGTCATGGACAACTTTCTCCACGAATAAAGAAATGTATTAAAATGTTTAAAATGATTGTGCATCTTTTGAGAAATTTGCACTGCAATACATCGTTGTCTTTTTTTTTTTAAATATTTAAAATATTTCCGAGTCAATTATTATTCCATTTCACAGACTAGCTTGAATGTCAAAGTTAAACAAACAGTTATACAAATAGTTTAAACATTTTGTTCATGTCACTGAATTAATCACAGAAGGCAGATAAAAATTGTAAACACATACTAGAATACATGTATGGATCTTACTCGCTTACATCAAACCGGAGGACGCCAAACGTAATGGTTTTGATATTGTCTTTATTACGCTTTCAATATTGTAACTTCAGAATTGCATACAGAATAAAGCCAGTTCATTTGTAAAGCTGAATTATACAGTTGCTCTGTCCTTGTATGACTCATCTGGTCTGTGATGACAGAGACATGTGTTGTAATATATATACGAGTAGTAATGTCGATTTTTTCGGACAGTATTTATAGACATGGAGATGCGCTTACCCCATCCTGGATGATTATAAATTAAAAAAACACATGGACATGTGTTAAGTATGTGTTGAAAACAGGATAATAACTCTAAGAGGGACAGATCATTTGCTTACAAACCTTGTATTTAAGACATCTCATACCATCAAAGGAATTCATATTTACATCTTTTCATCACACCATATACCTCCTCCGTTTGGTGTTATCGGTGAATGGTACCTACTGTCCATCAGGTGTACCGTACAGACATTAGAATGGTACCTCCTGTCCATCAGGTGTACCGTACAGATATTAGAATGGTACCTCCTGTCCATCAGGTGTACCGTACAGACATTAGAATAGTACCTCCTGTCCATCAAGTGTACCGTACAGACATTAGAATAGTACCTCCTGTCCATCAGGTGTACCGTACAGACATTAGAATAGTACCTCCTGTCCATCAGGTGTACCGTACAGACATTAGAATAGTACCTCCTGTCCATCAGGTGTACTGTGCAGACATTAGAATAGTACCTCCTGTCCATCAAGTGTACTGTACAGACATTAGAATGGTACCTCCTGCCCATCAGGTGTACTGTACAGACATCCGAATGGTACCTCCTGCCCATCAGGTGTACCGTACAGACATCCGAATAGCACCCACTGCACCAGACCTATGATAAGAGCCAGAGACGTTATCTTTTCTTTCTAAATAACTTTTTTATCATACGGCTTACCTGTTGCAATCGCATTTTTGTCTGTCGTCGTGTGGCCGTTAAAAATTGACATTTTCGACTTTTCTAAAATCTCTGAGTCAATAGTCAAAGACGAAGTGAAATTACATATTAAGTATCCCCATTGCTCTTTTCTTCATATATTTCTTGCTCCTAATGTCCACTTTGACACTGGCTCACTTTCCGCTTTTAGCTGAGCTTTCTCCCTTTCAAGGAAAGCTTTGGTTTCTGTCCGCTGGTAATTAATTCCTGCTTTAAGTTCGGCGTTGTGGGTTTTTCCATTGTAAATAAAAGGCGACCAGACGGGATGTAAGCATTTTAATGACGGCTTGTACGAACATAAAATAGTCTTTCAAACACACGCGCTCGAAACACATATACTCATATTGCATACATCAAGATACAATCTTTCTATGACCATAATTTTTTTCTGACGTTAAAAATATAAAACCAATCAATCTCTTTAAGTTGGAAAATATCATTCGATATCTGTAGCACCACAAATATTGGAGTTTATCGTCACGATCACTGTTTTCATATTTTTGTGTATTTGTGCTTCTTCCCATATCGAAACTAGCTTCATTTACAACCATTTTCGTTCGTCATACAAAGATTTTCATGATGAAGTATACCCTCAAGTAAACTATCGCTACTCTGCTTCATAAGATCGTTATCGCAGGCTTACCCGACAACCCATTCAGATAACATACATATGTGAATCCTGTATTCTCACATCAACGACAAGCCGGAAAACACACAGATCCGTTGTATAACAAGGTATACCTTTTATTTTTACTATAGAGTCCTTTTAATTTATATCTTAAATTCAACTTTCCAACTTATCATCAAAGTCACCAAAACGTTTTTTAAAATTGATGTTTCGTGTATAAGTACATGTGTATCTTTTTGATGGCTAATACCTTTTTACTAGAAGGAATCGTCTTTTCATTTCTTACAGCTGTCATATTATTCATCATGGAACTTGTTAGCATTGTTGATGAACAGAACAACAAGTACAGGTTTAAACGGTACAAGGGTTATCCTTTCAACGTAGAAGCAATTGGAAATGTAAGAGACCAACTTGAGAAAATAGCACACTTTGACGTCAAGCCGGACGATGTTATTGTTAGTGTGTTCCCCAAGTCTGGTAAATATTTCTTTGAAATGTATCTATTGCTTAATACAGTCAACTTTTCGATGTTTTGAAATACAATGAAATATTATCGTTTATTTCTGATGTGACAATTTGATATTGAACTGAAAATATTTTACTGAATTGCTGTGACTTTCTATTATTTTTGCGTTGTTTTACACAAACATGTCATCTAGTTACGGTCAGATTGTTGATTGTACGGAAGACACATAAGAGAATAACACATTTAATACAAATTAAGACCTAGTTACCGTAGAGCCAAATTATGAATATCAACGGTAAAAATTGGTATGTTATCATCAGTCGTATTAAAGACTTTCTTATAACTCAGGTACCCACTGGCTCTACAACACAGTAATGATGTTACGATCTGGATCTCTTAAGTACTCTGGAACACCTACATTTCTAGAGTTCCAAGAGTTCAAACTTATAGAGGAAAAGGAATCACCTAGAACATTCGGCTCCCACATGCGGTTCCGGTTTCTTCCAGAGCAGATGAAGCTCGGTAGAGGAAAAGTGGTCACCGTTACCAGAAATCCTAAAGACACTGTAGTATCGATGTACAAAATGCTTCAAGCAATGGGCGATATTGGGTACCAGGGATCATTTGAAGGTTTTTTGAAAATTTTCGTCACCGAAGAATGTAAGTAACTATATACAGGATACATAAAATATTACTGAAACAATTACAAACACTTTGAGAAGTGGTTACTAACTACAAATGGATAGATCATTCATAACGAGTGTTAGTGGCGATAAATAACGTATCTTTAACGATATCCTAACGTTGTAAATTGTACGAACTACAATCCTAAGATTTGAAATCATTCATGTTCGAATATTTTTATCCCGTGTATGATTTGTTGCCTGCATACCATGTTATATTTTACACAGCCTAAAATATGTCATATTCATACAAGAAAAAAAGTAAAAGCTTGGTAACAAAGTTCATATCCTCAATCATTTCATTTCTGTTTTATAATAAGGTTTTATGGGGAATGGCTCGTGGTTTTCCTGGATAAAGGACATGGAGGAATGGAAATCTCCGAATTGCTTGAGTCTTTCGTACAAAGATTTCAAACAGGTTTATTGAAATAAGTACCATACCGTAACGTAACTTCACCTTGTCACATTTTTTAAAAACTATCCTTGATTGGTTCCTTCGAATCTTGTTGCCAATAATATAACATAATGTATTTCGTGTTTTGAGGATCCAAAGAGATAACAATTCATAAACAGTTAACAGAAATCTTCAGAAATATTAAGATAACATTTGGAATTAAATGTATGTACTCAACGGCTTACTTTTAAAACGAGACATCTAAATAAAACAGTTACCATTAAGTCATATAACGAGATTTTCGTCCTTTTGGTTTAAAGCAATAGAAAGATGCTCTTACTTGTCGATACCTGGCGAATTAGCTCATTATAAGTCTTGTAGGACAAAACCAAGATCATTTCTTATATATCATTAAGTTGTACGTCCTCCACATGGATGGCGTTGATATTCCACATGGGTCAACTTTAAGTAGTGTATTACAGTACACAAACATTCTCCAGTGATTCAGCACAAATTTTCGTTGATAGCGTGAGTGAAATTTGCAATGTTGGATTTATTTTATTGTTGTTGAAGGTAAACATAATTTAAAATTGCTTTCAGGAATAATTTTGGAATTTTCGATTTTTGATATAGTTTGTCAACTTCTTAACTATTTCGCTTTTTTAACAGTTAAGTATGTATTATTTTTAAAAAGAATCATGTGCGTTACAGAATACATTTGAAAACGTCGTGAAATTGGCAAAGTTTCTAGAAGTTGATCATGATGAGGATTTCTTACGATCAGTCTCAGACAGTATACAATTTAACAAGTTGAAAGAGAGTCACAACCTTACGACCCCGCCCAGTGACCGATGGAAAGACATTTCTGAGGATGGACGACTGCCTATATATAGGAAAGGTACACATATTGATATTTTAAGAAAATATTATGTACTTACGTTATCAATAATAATAACGTAATAACCAATATAAGCTCTTTAGTGATACATTGACTTATGATTCGTTAAAGTGCTAAAGTATTATTATTTTCCTTTTTTAGGCGAAGTTGGAGAATGGAAAAAAGTAATCACGGTTGCTCAAAGCGAACAGTTTGATAAATTATTTAAGGAAAAGGTAGAAGAGTTCGGCCTCAAAATAAAAACGAGCTTCGAGTAAAGTGTAAATGATGTGGCTTTATGCAGTTACTCGACCTCGGAATGGGCTGTCATGATTGGTTGACGACAAGTTAGCACGGAAAAGGACAAATAAAAAGTGCACGGAACAATTGTTAAAAGAACATTATCACAAAAAAGAAAATTATAAAATTCATTCTTTAACAACAATAGATAAACGGAGTGTGTATAAAACAAAATTACATATGACGAGAAATACTATCAGATGGACGGTATACCAATGGTTGAAATGATGTTTACCTAGTGTATATATGTGAACGGTGTATATGAATATGTTATGCACTGATATTAGTCTTTGTATGTCAGCTAGGAACGGGTAGTGTATATATAACCTATTCAGTGACTGGACAGCCTCGTCCCGATGCTTTAAATTATAGCTAAGGATATCATTACCAAGTCTAAGGTTCAATAGTGTTAAAAGCATTTATCGTACCTATCTTAATAAGTAATGTTAAGGTAAATCATATATAAATACGTATTATTATGCATGTTATTCATGTACACAGTAGTGATGGCTAAATGAACACGAATTGTAATATTATAGATTGTATATCTACTCATACATTAATAAATGATGCTTATAAAAATTACTGTTGTGCTTTAAATGCTATTGGTTGAGACTTCATTACGGTATATCGTAATTCTGATGCAACAACAATTGCTATTACGAATATCACAACCGTTAAGATATGAATGAGAATGTGGTGCAGCTTGAAGAATGAAGTCGTTTCGTTCACCGTGTGGATTTGCTACATCATATTTATTCTAAATTTGTATTGAAGGTGCTATTTACTTTTGTGTCTTTTGTACCATTTTTTGTTAGGTAACTTGGATATTGAGGCTAACATTCATAAATGAAGAAAATGAACGACTGGCACGTAATTTGAAATGGTTTAGAAACGGAAATCTAATACTTGGAAAATATAAAGAAATTGCACAGCAGGTCATCATTCATGAAAATTAGGTTCTATAGATAACAGATGTGGTATAGGCAAGGTGTGAAAACAACTTCCTCTTGGCAATATGCTGTGGTACATTATATTGTGTTTATATGAAAAAAAAAGTATAAACTTTATACATCGTTAGTGTTATACTGAGTAATTGTAGAGCGAGGTCCTGAGATCAGACATATTGAGAGTGGTCTTGAATATAAAGATATACTTCTCCCCAAGCCTCTTTTCCCATTTTAACGATTTTCATGCAAGAAGTCGTCAATTGGCGGATAAATTCGTAACACAGGATTTCAAAAGATGCAGATTGATGAGAGTGGAAGTTTTATGGTTGCCACAGTGATCTCATTGAGAAATATTCTACTTCTTTGTGTGATATGAAGCTGGAAGTGTTTGATCCTCGTAAGTTTTACTGTTAGTTCCGTTGTTGTATTCCTTGTTGTTTGAGAACGTGACATTACTTACTTGGGTTGACCACAGTTGGCATGGTGGGTGTCGTAGACGTAGCAGACTGGAACACTTGATCTTATTCTCCATGTATTTTTATTAAGGTATCCCCGTATGAAGCTTTCTTTTGTTCATATTTTGCTGTGGTTTTATTGAATTTGAGTTTGAATTATGATTATGGTGACAGGTTGCTGTTTTCCTGTTGTATCAACAACATTTACAATCAAGTGAGTGTGAAATCAGATCAATTATAAATCAATTATCAACTTATTGTAGTATAATGATACCATAAAACACATCATCCATGGGCACTTTCATTATATGATGTTAGTTTTATAATAGCGAGGGATATTTATGAAACAATAGGATTTTAACATTCAGTTGAGGCACAATTCATATTTTTTCACTTCCTTTCCCTAAAATTAAGTCATTGGCATTTAGTATTTTCTATGACACGAGCTAAAAAAAACTTCTGCAACCCCGTTGAAGGAAGAAATCAGTTTTACCAGCATGAACTAAAATGGCAAGATCATTTCAGAACAATATCAAGAATATTGAAAGAACACGAAAAACATCGAAACATTAACTCGATAGTGAGACGACATCAAGAGAATAACTAAATCAAGTGTTTTGAAAGAGCTCTTCAGCACATTCATTCTGCACGGTTTCATGCAGTTTTGTTGTCGTGTTGAGATTTGTAAGATTTGGAGCAATATAGAAAATCGGTTTCCAAAATTTGCCCTGTTTACACCATTTCTTCAGCTTTTATTTATCCAACAAAGTACTATGCCCTAAAGTTTTTTTCTTGTCAATCTCATCAATAAATACATCGAGTCATATATTCCCGAGGATTCTCGCCTAAATCAATTTCTTTTCAGTTAATACAAAAATAAAACATACTTTTCCGAAGAATACCAACTGATGAACTGCGACAAAGTTGGAATGTATACTAACAAGTAAATCTGTTCCTATGATACGTGTTTGAAAATTACTTCGGTTTTTCAGTACTTTGATACTTACAAAAAATTAGGTGGTAGGGGAAATTGGCATATTTGGTTAATCATCGACATGTCCTAGCGTTTCACACTGATAGAAAATCAACGAAAATTGTCAAAATCAATTTCTGAATTCTTCAAAACAAACTTTAAAAGTATCTAAATATGTACAATGCAAGTTCTGTCGAGAAAATGGTAAAACTCGTAGTCGACAGTTATATAAAACGGAAATATTATGGAATATACGATTTAACAGTTAATATTATGTTGAAATTGTTTATGCCAAAAGAATCACTCCGAAATACCTGAGGCAGATGAAAGAGTCTATTTTGCGAAAACTATTTTTCCAATGTGTAATTCACAAGAATTGATAAAGTTATACTGGAACTACTACAAGTCTTCGTTGGCCGTCATGCGACATTTTAAAGTAGGCTTCAGTTCCACACTTTCACAAAGAGGGTCACAATCATCTCGCATATATAGAGCTGTCATCGTTACTTCAGTAATCAGTAAATGACTTCAGCTGTTCATACACAGTCATATGACCCTGGCAATTACAGTAGGTCATCTCTGTAGTCCCAGTTAAATGAAACAAGTATATGCATTGGGTAACTCCGGGTTTATGTGATAACGAGGGTCAGATAAAATAGTGTGTTCGACAAAGGGATGTAGAGGGCATTGTTGCTTAAAAGGTACGCTGATTAAATCATCTATTCAGTTATGTTAAAGAAAGCAAGGAAAGGTTGCTAGCAATTTTTCACATGACTGGTTTTCAATGTGTAAATGATAACGTTTCACTGGGTTTCATACCCAAGTTATATTCGACGTCATTGTCAACAGATATTAACCAAAAGTTGAACGTTGAATTATTTAAAATAATAGCCAGCAGCTCCACATATTTTGCACTGATCACGAAAAATCTACACTCAAAGAGAACATGTTAAAATCTTTATATACAATTGTAGTAATACGATAATATCTTTCCCGTATTTAATTATCTTCCCACAGGCTATCATTATCGTTCGCCATGGAGATGGTTAAAATCGTCGATGAAGAGAATAACAAGTACACCTTTAAACGATACAAGGGTTATCCATTCATTATAGAAACTGTTGGAAATGTAAGAGACCAGCTAGCTAAAATAGCAAATCGTCACATCAAACAGGATGATGTTCTCGTTTGTGTGTTCCCCAAATCTGGTGGGTAAAATTTTGGTTTTGTAATATTTCTTATGATATTCCATGTTAAGACACTTTTACTGAAATGAAAATGAAAAGCTAAAGCTCTCTTTCAATCGATCTCAGTGGTCACCTAGTGTAGAGCGAAGTTTCATCGGTACAGCTTGATCGCTTTCTAGGTAACATCTTACAAATTTCATCGGGGGATTTTTCAAGCGGGATGTCAACATTCACTTTAACTGTTTGTCTTTAATTAAGTTACAATTTTGTTATATATTTGATAACGGATTATTCATGAAATGGAATTTTTTTGCTTCTTCTTGCTCAGTGGCAAAATATGTTTATAATACCATAAAAATCAAACATACGTTTTTAGTCTACAAAGAAGCATTCTTGAAAAAACAATTATGTGACCAACTCTTTCTAATTAAGAGGGAGGCCTCATCATGTCTGGCTTTGCACGAGGTTCTTGCCGGTGTCCTGATATTTTCTTAAATAGGTCACGGTTACTTAAATATTATATATAAACTTTATTTTACAACAATAAGAATGTAAGCGCGCGAGGGGTCTTATTGTGGGAGGAAACCGGAGTACCCGGGGAAAACCAACGTGGTCGGGCAGGTGACCTCTTACCTATTCACGTCCGTTCCGGTAATCGAACTCCGGTCGGCTAGGTGAAAGGTGAGTGCGTTACCACTGCGCCACCCGACCACCCAAATATACTTAAATATTTGTCGTTTCTGGGCGTCATTATTTTCCAAGCTGCATCGAGTCCGATATCTTTAAGATTGTAACATACTTTCTACGTTTGCTTGTTTGCCATTGACGGTAACACATATAAGGGTGACAGTTGCGAACGAATATGGCGTAGGATCACCATAGAGGCACGCACTTCGAGGAAATACCATTTATTTCCTTATAATGAATGTGGTTTTTATCCCCCGGTCACGTGATGATTTTTTACAAATCGGTAACACTGCTTCGAAAAGTAATAAAACATAATGATATGCATTGTAAGATCAATGGGCGTTATGAATATGCAAGGAACGAGGAGATCATGTTGTTTCTTGGTGTATTTAAGGTACTCATTGGCTCTACAATACAGTAATGATGTTACGATCAGGTTCTCTAAAGTACTCTGGGTCCCCTACAATGATGGAATTTCAAGATTTCAATGAAATAGAGAAGATGCAATCACCCAGGACGTTCGGCTCCCACTTGCGGTTCCGGTTTCTTCCCGAACAGATGAAGATCGGAAGAGGGAAAGTGGTCACCGTTACCAGAAATCCTAAAGATATAGTGACATCTGTATATCACATGCTACAAAACCTAGGAGATATCGGATATCAAGGAACATTTGAAGGGTTTTTGAATATTTTTCTCTCCGAAGAATGTAAGATTTATTTTAGCGTTAATATGCAACTTGTAATTCAAAAGCATTTGCATTTAGTAATGAAAAGGATTTACACCGAAAATATCCTTTGTGTCGAGGAACGGCGTCCGTCGTCGGTCTGGCAGCCGTCTTTTTTCGCATTAAATTATTTCTTCTACATAACCAAGATAATCATGATATTGGGTCAGTAGCATGGTGGGATAAAAGAATAACAATTAATAACAATCTGTGTAAATGAATTACCTTGACGCATTCTCAATGTCACATAGGTAAATTATGTTAAAAATCTTTAAACTATTACTTTCCAGTAACAAAGTGCCCTTGGGTATCAATATTGACCATGTAACATGCTGGGACGAAGGATGACGAATTTTGTACAGATTTTCACATGAATTACAAAGTCACAGGGGTCAAATGTTAAGAACGTCAAAATGTTTTCTTTCTGTAATCAATATGTCGTTGGTCAAGGTATTTTTGTATGTTTGTAACTTAACGGACAGACTTCTTTTTACGCTGCATAAGTGGTGAGCGATTCAAAGGCCCATTGGACTCTATTTCAAACATGATTTACACATCTCCTGCTTAGTGAAAAACTCAGTCCTGGTTTGAATACTGCTCCTGTTATATATTAACTTTGATTTCCCGAAATTTCTACATCCAATTAATTTCTTCTTCTGTGGGCAAGGCAGTTGTATATTTGCAAATGTACCCATTGATTTTAATTGAAATCCTACTTGTATTGTAGGTTTTATGGGTAATGGTTCCTGGTTTTCCTGGATAAAAGACATGGAAGAATGGGAACAGTCAAACTTTCTCAGTCTTTCATTTCACGATTTCAAACAGGTAAATTGGTGTGTAATCTGGTAAGATGAGTCTGATTACTTCGCCTTAAAATGTCAAAGAAGTGACATTGGAAGTGACCACATAATTCATGGACATCGACTTCCAAGCGAGCTGTGTATTGCAATCTTAAACGTGTTCAAAACAATACTTCAATATGTTTATATATATATCATCGGTTTATCTTTATGTGTGTTGACATTTCAGAATACATTTGCAAACGTCGTGAAATTGGCAAAGTTTCTAGAAGTTGATCATGATGAGGATTTCTTACGATCAGTCTCAGAAAGTATACAATTTAACAAGTTAAAAGAGAGTCACAAAATTACGACCCCGCCCAGTGACCGATGGAAAGACATTTCTGAGGATGGACGACTGCCTATATATAGGAAAGGTTTGTTGAGTTTACTTGGACTTCTTCTTAGTGCATAACAACTAACCACTAACACACAAATCGGCGGATGGGACTTAAAATGATGGCCCATGTGAGAATGTCAAACTCGCACGATAAAGATCCCTCTGTTTTTGTTTTTGTTTTTTAATGAGAGCAAGCGTGATAACGCCTGTCCAGACGTTAGGCTTAGATTAGCAATAAGGATTATTTCTAAAGTAATTTTGACGAACTTCCCAAATACTATTAACATATCGAAATTTACTGAGTGTAGGATCTCCTTCCTTATCCTCTCTGTCCTTAACCGGTCCTTTTGCTGCGATGTGCTTAGTTAGTGGTAGGCTAGGGCTATAATGTTACCAAGTGGTTGTCTTCAAAGTTATAGTTTAAGGACAGGTCAAATAGTATAGACGGCCCCTATCTGCCTCATCTATGTATCCCACTCAATCCAATTACTTCATACTTTTCCCTCTCTGCTCTTTTTCATGTCCTTCCTCGTCCACTGAAAGGCCGAAAGGTCATGATAGTGGACTTAAACTATAAATAAATCATAATATTAGTTTCGGGTTTGGCGCCATCTTTACGCTTGGAAACACTTCAGTTTTTACGAAAACATTAACGTTGTCTTGAAAAAAATTCAATTTGTATGATGCGGCTTAATTCATTATTTAGCTATACTTCATCTAATTCTAAACCTGCAGTGTAAAACACTATTCACTTATCTGTCTTATACAGTCTTTGAGATATATCTATGTCAAGTATTATGTATTTTGCTTTACAGATCTCTCTGTGAAAGTAAGGAATATTAGTGTTCTAACCAATATAATGTACAATTGTTTCTTTTTTCAGTGTAGACCAGTACATATATTATATCACATTTTATTTACTATACATTGAAAGAAGGAAACATCTAGCCCAAGTTTAACTTAGAAAGGATATATCGTAGGTTTTATATATATCTGATGGCACTATTTACTTTTCAGGAGAAGTTGGAGACTGGAAAGAAATGTTCACGGTTGCCCAAAGCGAAAATTTTAATAAAATTTTTAAGAAAAAGGTAGAAGAGATGGGTCTAAAAATCAAAGCTAGCTGCGAATGAATTGTATGATAGATACCTCTCAGAACCACGTATACGGCTATCACGAAGCGGATTTCCCAATAACAGGTTTAATATCGGGCCTATTGTATACATACACTTTATTTATTACTGAATATTGTAGCTTGCATTAAGTCTTGTTAATATTCTTAAAACAATTTCTTGTATTTTGATATTTTTGGTTGTTTTTTTTAGTAATTTCAGTTGACATAATCAAATATGTGTTAAATATGGCCGAGTTTTTGTTTTTGTTTTTTTTTTATCTAGAGAACTAAGAAATGAACAGAACGAGAACTGGAACAGTGTATTTTTTTTTGTGCGTTAATTTTGACCCGAAATCTTTAAGTCAGACTCTGGGAACAGCCAGTCTAACCCCATAGCAGCCTTAAATCCATACCGCAGATGTTTATAAAGTAAAGTACATATGCACCGACATCTTTCAATACTTGCACGAAAATCTTACTATTTTAAAACCCAACGCATCCGCCGGGTGCCACCGTCAAGCTAAAAAGCGATAACCTGTTCCTAATTCATCACCGATAAGAAGCAGAACCTGAATTTTGTGGAAATGATTTATTGACTTGATAAGTATTTTGGGTCATACGACATTGACAGTAATTGAATAATGTCGCCGTGCTTAAGGTAGCACATCCTTGCTTCCCAGGCAGGATTGTCTTTACGGCTGCTAATGCATGACGATGTCCAATGACAAATGTACCAGATGCCAGTAACCCCTACCCTCTACCTTCTACTCCCTATATTTACATCCTACCCTCTACCTTCTATCCCTACCCTTTACCTCCTACCATCTACCCTCTACCTTCTACCCCCTATATCTACATCCTACCCTCTACTCTACCTCCTATCATCTACCCTCTACCTTCTATCCCTACCCTTTACCTCCTACCATCTACCCCCAACTTTCTACATCCTACCCTCTACTCTACTTCCTACCATATACCCCCTACCTCTACCTTCTACCCCTACCCTCTACCTCAAACCATCTACCCTCTGCCTTACTCCTTCCCTCCACACCTCTACTTCCTCCCATCTACCCTCTTCTCTCAACCCCCTACCCTCTACCTCCAACCTCCTACCCTCTAGCTTCTACCCCTTACTCTCTACACACAACAGGATATTTTATAGTGCTAAACAGGTGAGCGTTATTTGATGTACAATCAAAACTCTCACAATGCAAAACAAGTTTGAATCATGTCACATGCTTGAGAAATTTATGGTAGGGAAGTAAGTTTTTTACCTCTCTAACGATCATAAACATGTAAGAATGGTGATAATGACTTTTAAGTGCTTTTGTGAGAACTCAGGTGGCCCAAACATAAATTCGAGAGGGTTACAAGAAACGCACATTATTTTAGTCCTGCCTAATGATATTCAGCGACTGAAAAGGTACATGCTTATACATATTGTTTACATAGTGTCAGCTGATATACCGGTGTTCCAATGTGCAGCCCAAAGTCTTGTAGGATGTTGTGTTATCTGTTTGTCCTTGGTCTGGTTAATTCTTACCTCACAAGATGAAGGTCGTGATATCATATGATTGTGTCCGTGTTATAGGTTGGTGACATTTGTACCCCTGGTATTTACAACAAAAAGTTGCAATTCATAATATTTGATGAGGAAAATGATTAGAATTAATATAGTAATAAAGTGTGTAAAGAATATAACACTAGTACCTGTTTCATATATTTGGGAAATGACTGGTTCCTATTTCAAATGGGACACAAAAACCACCAAAATTAATTTGCTGATATTTAACATTTCCATTCAACTTTTGCACTGCCATTTTCCTTTCTATACCCTTGATTGGCAATGCCTGGCCTTCGATATTGTGGTGTACCTCCAACAAGTGTTTAATGTGTATTTTTTGTTTCTATATATATATATTTACATGGATCAGTAATGATGGTATTGTAAAACTATATAAAAAGATTATCAAAAGATGTTAAACATATTCGACTCTTGTGACCTTAAAATTATTTGAGAAAAAAGTGAGATCTCTACATACTAGCTATCTGCTGGCATAGTAACTGGGACTTCTGGAACTTGAAAAAATATATCTATTTTAAATATATTTGACACTCATGACCTTAAAAACAGGTCACAGTCAGCCATTTTTATCGAGTAATTTTAGAGCAATTCATCCCAGTTAATTTTAAAACATGTAAATATCAGTATCCTTGGTCTTCTCAAACTTCAAACATCAGATGCTAATTCTTTTAAGCTTTTAACATATTTGACCACTGACCTTGAAAACAAGTCAAGCCCATTTATATCAGAAAAATTCACTGCACTTCATATCAGATACCTGCTATCAATATATTAGGACACTTCAGTTTTCTGTAACTTCACAAGAATATTCTCAAGCATGACTTAACATATTCAATCAAACTGACCAATAAAATACATGTAGGTGAAGGTCATTTATATTAGGGAACTTTGTAACACTCTTTTGTATCTACTGCCCAAATATCAGCTTAAATTGGTTCTTTTGGAATTTAAGGTGAAGAATCGTCAAAGAATTTTACATATTTGACCCCTTTGAAAATGAAAATATATCAAACTCATTAGTATGATCAAATTTTATAAGATTATATCCTTGGTACCAACTGTAAAAATGTAAGGACTCTGGAACATGAGAAGATTAAGTTATATATAATTTTATTTTTTATATTTATATATATATTTGAACATTTGTACTTGAGCATTGGTAAAGGTAATGAAAGGCAATTGGAAGATGGATTCGTCACTAAACCATAAACTCAGTCACTTCCTAACTGCCATTAAAGGTAAAAAAACACGTAGTCAGACACAATTCAATAACTTTTTATTGCAAAATTGTGTAAATACATTTGTGTTCCCCATTTTTTATACCATGTTGCATTGCTCATGCATAGAGAGAAAAAACAAATAACAAAATCACCTCTTAAACCTAACATAACAAAACAATCTGACATCATATCTTATTATCTTCATTGTCAGTAAATGGCACAATGGTATACTAACAATCGACTGGAAATCATCATTATAGACGCTGACTCATCAACGAGAGAGAGGGAGATACTCTATTGATTTGCAAGAGATACAAGGAATTAATGGTGCACTACATTCACTGTACATATTTAAATTTCCAAAACCTATAAAAGCATCATGTCTGCATAATAAATCTTGATTACATTAAATTTGATATCATGCTTAATTCATTTTAGTATTGGTATTAGTGTTTATAACCATCAAGACAAAAAAGGTTATTAAAACTCATTTACTTGCTGTTCAAAAAGCCATGGGTTTAATAAATATTTCAATTTGACACTATTGCAATGAATGTTATCCCCACAATAAAAAGAGGAGATGAAAGTCATTTCAGGAACCATAACTCCTTGACTGTTGCAGTTTTTTCCTTTCTCTCATACACTTGTACTCTTAAATGGATAGAGTACATACAAAAAACAGATAACAATGGACAAAATGATGACTTTGAAAACTTAATGAAATACAGAATACACATAAAGGATGAAACTATTATGCAAAAACTTAAAAAGATGTAAAATAATGATCACATATGCTCTATCACACAAAGAAAATGTATATGGATATAATTAAAATGATAAATATTAGTGCCAATTTGGTTTAATTAAACAAAAATATGTATGTGTATATATATAATACAGACAACCAACTTATACACAGTACCAAATAATCATACAAACCTGTAAAATAGCAAGGGAGATAATTCTTAATGACTGGGTTCACAGAAAATGATTAAATAGAAACGTACAATCATATTTATAAAGGTAAAAATAAGAAAAACTCTTTAACAAATGCAACTAAAGCTTGTCAACCTCACTGGCAGCAGCTATTACAGAACTGTCAGGCCCCTGTGGGGTGGGGAACATATAATTTACTATTTTGGTTCATCTTAGCCAGGGAAGGTTTCTGCAAAATTTCAATGAAATCAGTTCAGAGTTTTTTGAGAAGAAGCTGAAAAAAGTTAAATTGTTTCGGACACATGATGCCAGAGGTGATTGCAATAGGTCATCATGAGAATTTGTCTATGGTGACCACAAAATTAAGCAGCATTTAAAAACTTTTCCAAAGACAGTTTTGATGTACAATAAAAACATGGTAAGATTTTAAAAATAAAAATGCAAATTGCCATAATATCAACTTTCGATATCTATAGGACCTGAGTATCACTGTTCCTTGTAAGGAGATTTCAGAATCAAAAATTTCTATAAATGTTAACAACCTGCAGGTTTGACTTTTTGATTTGGGACATATTGCAACGGGACAGATATGGGCATCTCTACACTCAGGTATACAAAATGAAAGGACCATTTCAACTGTTCTTATAAGCAAATATTCAATCAATTGGATTCAGAATGATCTGGAGAAATACTGCATCACCTCCCATCCAGAAAGGAAGTTACCTCCCCGAGTTGAGGTAACACCATAGGCAAGATACACTTTCATTTCACACAATTAGTATGTATACACAGTCAATGGTGAACTGGTCTCTCAAACCTATCAAGCTCAGCTCAGATTACAGGAGAAATAGAGAATTAATGGTTAGTTTCTTAAAAATATCAGCTGTATACGGCAAGAGTTAAGAAAACAAATGTGGTAAGCAATATAGTTCCAAACTACAAGATTTTTTTTGCAAATAATCTACTTTTTCTTTTAGATTCAAACAGTAATTTCTCAATATCTGACTACACTCAGCCACAACATTAGCAAAATGTATATTGTCTAGGTTGTCTACATATTCAAGCATCAGGTAAAGGGAAGTAACTGACAGACAAAAAAATGGACACTGCACCGTCATGATTACTGTAAAATAATGATGATACTACAGCACTAATAAGACAGGTTCTAGACAATATCGATATCACATCCTGTACCTCAATTGTTTTTATCACCTTCTCAAACTTTAAAAGTTTATAATGACCCCAAAATCATACCTGACAGATCCTTAATTATCTCCAATAATGAAATACAGTGTATGTGATACCAAAAGCTTATAAAAAAAACAAAAAACAAAAAAACAAAGATTGCCATCTTGCAGTGCTCATGAGGAAATTCTACCCGAGCAGCCCATTTTGACATGGTGTGCCATTGCATCTAGGACAGACCTTTGTTGTAGAGGCACACCTCGTGCACAGGCCAATGTGACAGCAGGGCAGCAACATAGTGACCACAGGCAGCTGAAAACAACTGCTACACAGAAATCCACGATTCATTTCATTCATCTCATCATCTCATCATCTGTGGATAACAAATATCTATATGACAACTGTAGATAACAAATATCTATATGACAACTGTAGAAAACAAATCTCTTTATGAATCACTCTCACTGATAAACAACTTCCACAAAGTGCTCCATAATACATCCACGACATCCACCGTGGGTAACCCAATCTCTGAATCAAATTCTAACACCACAATTATAACAAACTAACCTAAGTTGAAAAATATATCATTTCAATTTGGATTCAACTTATCTCATTATAAATTATGTAGTTTTTCAATAGGAACAGTATATAAATATCAAATATTATTCTTAGAATAAAACATACAACTGCGCAACATTAAATTTTGAAAAAATACAAAATTTCCGGAAATATGGGGCTAGTGCACCCCTCAATCAAAATTTTGACATTCTTTTCATCAATTTTTATATCATTCAGTTGCCACTGATGATTCCAAATTTTGCCCTTTAACATCACTAGTAAGTCCTAGAGAAACAACTGTATAGTGCTGTTTAAATATGTATTTACCAATAATATATCTAATTCCTATCACAGATTTGTATCTATAGGTGCTTTTCAATTGCATGTCTTTTTTATACATTAAACTCCAATTTCAAGAAATACAAAAAATGTACAACACAATATGGATAGCAATAAATTACCCTAAACTTGAAAGAAAATGCTTCAGTTTACCTACCAGATACACTTGACAAAAACAGGGCAAAACTTAGAAGTGTTTTGTTCCACGTTCACAAAGTGCTAAAAGCTCAACAACATGTTAAAAGAATGAATCAAGCTATGGTAAGAAGCAAAGTCATAAGATATAAAAACATTGCAATGAAAGTATAACTGGCTCCCCACCCAATTACTTACCTCCCTTCAATTGGACATTAACATCTGGCTTGTCTGCACAAATTTACCAGAATACAACTATGAATTGATCTTTACCCTGTGTAGAAAATGTTTTCTGAAGTTGAAAACTAAATAAAGAACAAGATTTCCTGCACTTCTGTCAACACTCTACAACATACAAATATATCATATATTGATGCTGACTACTTACAGGAAGGCAGATCATAGTCCTCCTCCACAATTTTGTCACCACCTTCCATATCTGAGATCAGCTCAAGCAGGTCACCAACTTTAATGTCTTTATCTCCTTTCAATATATAATAATCAAATTAAACATGATAGAAGCCTTTTTCAACACACCCTAAATAATCAATTTAAAACAAAAATATACAAAAATCTCACGAATTCCCCTAAATGTATAGATGCTTACCAATTGTGATTGTCCAGCGTTCACAAGTATTGAAACAGAAACCTAAACTGGGTGGGATTTCAATCATTTCATTGCAAATTTTCTGTGACTATGACAAGTTTTTTTGTTTTGTTTTATCTTAATGATAAAATTTTCTGCTTTTAAAGACTCTTGTTTTGAATTTTTTATAATGTTTCAAAGAAAATTTAGAATTTTTCTAAGCTTTGGTGAGGGCTGAGTCACAGGTTTTACCAGATTTTGTGATTGAGCTGAAATAAACATTCTACTTTGTTTAGGCCATTTGGGGATATTATCATCTATCTTGGGTAAATTAAATAACTGGCATTGTGAAAAATGTAACCCAATTAATTCATAGGATACAGAATAGATTACAACAGTAACTATAAGTATAAACAAATGGAAGCCAGTCATTCAAAGCTTGCTATGGGAGGTTTACAAAGTCAAAAAAAAAGACACAACATTCATTTAGACGATCTTCCCACATTGAACAACATACCACTTCCTTGACTGACAGCTGCGTTTACAGTATAAATGGACGAAACACCTGTGTGGAGCGACATGCCAGGTCAATCAACATAAGCATTAAACGGGGACAAAGAAGTCAGTGTTTATGGTACAGGGCATGATAAACAACAAAAATTGCAGTGACACTAGCAGCTTATGTGACGGCACAAAAATAGCCCTTCTAGTACACTTGCCTGAAATTTGTCCCCTACCAAAATGCGACATCTCGAGTGTTTTTGTAGCATACATGTGCAGGGAGGGAACAAAGTCGTGGGGAAATGAAGAAAGTATAAAAAAAGTTTGGCTGAAGAGGGGTGTTAATACCACTGACAAGCAACTGCTGGTGTTGGACCCGTTACAGGGGCATTTAACAGAGGATGTTAAAAAGCTAGTATGCCAGAAGTAAAAACAGCGACCGATGTGTTATTTCTGTGGTTGATACGCATGTGCCTGATTAAACAAGCTAACAGAGAGTGAAAGTGATGACAGCGAGAACAGTAATTCATACAGAAGTCCCGGAAGTTGATCTCATCCTTAGTTCTGTAGAAACAAAAATAGACATGTGTTTTTCACTTTTGGGATATGATTGCCCATTGTATGTTTAGATTTTCCTGTTTCATATTCATATGTCTATATGTGGATATTTGGCACAAGGTAAGTTTTGTGATGTTAGTTGGGGAAAATCACTGAGAAAAGGGGTTGGGTTTTTTATTACAATAAATATGGTAAGAAAAAGCTCAAGTTAAATTGGAAATTCAAACAAAAATTCTGAATGATCACAATACTAGACAATTTCTTGATGATTTTTTGCATCAAAAGCAAACATACAGCTAACTTAAAGAACCAGTAGAGGATAGGAGATCCAAAGCTAATAACATACAAGAAATGGCAATTGCTGTAGGTTTCACAAGTGTTTATGACAAGCCCAAATAAATATGACATAAAAACTGTCTGACAATTAAGGATTGAAAAAAAAACTTAATGAGTTTTTAGATATTAAAATGATAGTCCAACTTAAATGAAATTACACGAAAATAAATGACACTTTAACTATGGTACTATGGAATTGAACTGACATATTGTAATTCAAACAATTTTTTTCACATCATCCATTTATTCTATTCTAATCAGTTCCTCTCAACCCCCTCTCCCTTATTATATGCAATCTCATTTTATGACAACAATATCTTTGTACTCCTAAATATTTATCAAACCTTCTAAAATAATTATCTACTAGCAATCTATCACTACAGATACCGGTGACCTCAAGTTCATGTATTACATCATCAACACAAGTTTTATAGGTAGCAATATTTTATGAACCTCTATTTGTTTGTATTATACTAACTTTCTTCAAATAAAATTGATTTAATATTGAAAGCATCAATTAGATGAATAGTGTTTTGGAAAAGATTTTTCAAAACGATACTGGAGAAGCTATTTTCTGCACTGACTTTTGCTGGCTCTGTGCTGGTTGATAGCTGCCATGATGACCTCAGATGAATATTTCATGGATCGCAAGATGCTCGCTGGAGTAAACCGAGTCATAGAAACAATAGAAACAGGCAGATCCATCTATAAACAAATAACAATCTGATTAGAAAGAAAGAAAGAAAAAGAAAGAAAGGTGTTAATTACATGAGCATACCCACCCCACAAGAAACTACCACCACACAATATTAAACTTATTACTTGTAACTCTGACCGCAGTTCAATTAAAATCAATTTATACTCACATCCTCTGTTTCTTCAAAGTTTTCCACAAAGTTGATTCCTTTCATCCTAATCAGATACTTGCAGGATGGAGATGAACATGCATGATCTGCCCATGGTTCAGCATGGGGCGGCAAGCAACAAAAACTTATACCACAATCATGGCATGTAACAGTGGCTCCCTCTCCTGGTAGATATAGAAATATTAACTTTGGAACAATTCTGTACTTACTATACAACATCACCACCTAGAGTTTATACCTGACGACCTTCCTTAACTTTCTAAATAAAAAACCTATTACTTCAGTCATAAGCCAGAAATATTTCATCATTAACTTTGGTTTTTACCTTTATTTATGGAACATGGGTCTGAGTACACTAATGAGGTCCAATGAGTCTACCTCATTCATCTAATACTCAATACTATTTACAAGGATTTTACAATTGTGACATACAAAGCTGGTCAATGGCCTGTGATTTCAAAAATGGATCAAGGATACATGCTTTTCCAATAACTGCTGGATTTTTTCCTAAGGAAGGCGCATGTCATATTTCTGTGAAATGATTTGGTCATCTGACCCTGTGACCTTATTTCAACCATGTGGTCATGAAAGTCATTCAGTGAAACAAACTTTGTTCCCTTTCATCCCAGCATGCTACAAGCCAAATATCATAGGCTGGAGTCTCTTGGTAAATGAGAAGAAGTTGTTAAAAGATTTTCACACATTTGATCCCTGTGACCTTGAAAATGTGCTGAGGTCATTCAATTGAACAATGTTGGTAGCCCTAATACTATATGCTACAAGCCAAATATCGTGACCCTGGTACTCATGGTCATTGAGTATTTGCTTAAAGTTGATGCTGCTCACAAGATCTTCAGGCATGTGAGCTAATCTCAAGACATTTCTTTCAGAAAATAATTAAAGTTTTTATGTCCATCATCAACTTTGACCTTATGTAGGGAACTACATTAGTGACACAGTTATTTCAGATACATGTATAGTTTATCTAAACTCAGCAAACTGAATATAGTACATGCATGTAGGTTATTTTGATCAGTCTACCTGGAAAATTGAATTCCCAGTAAACCATACCTGATGGTTGAGAAGATCCAAATCCAATGTAAACAGATAAACAAATGAGAAGTGACTAATGCATGTATTATCCAAATACCTGGCATACATAGATCAGCTCTCTTCTCTAGAATCAGATACTTGGTAGAGCTGGTTAGGTAAAGCAGCAATATAGCAGACAATACACTGAACTGGCATCATATTCACTTAAGCAAAATAACATTTAACTGAATATAGGAAGTAAGCCCCAGGAAGGATGAAGAACAGAGTATAATCTCAGCCATTCCTCCATATGTAGATCTACATCTCTCTTCTGTCTATGGTACATTGTACTTACCTGTGTAAAATAAACCTGCTCCAGCCAATTCCTCTGGTCTCTGTGTCACTTGGTCTACAGGCCAATTAGGGTTGTCATATGTTCCTATCCTGCTAGTGATTTCCATGTACTCTGGTCGAGTTACCTGCAAAAAAAGAAAAGAAAATTGGCTCATATTGCTATGAGGAAGAATAGGCATTCATATCCCCTCATATTTTCAGTGAATCATAACGTATGGACAAGATAGTAAATTTGATTTCAATGTGACCTTGACATTCAGGGTAATTGATTGAAAAAAATTTAAGTCACACCATCTTACCGTCTACGTACATCCATTCAATTTAATCAATCTACCATTTCTAAATGAAGTTATTATCCAGTTAGCATTGTAGTTCTGAACTATCATTCGATTCAAATACAAAAAATATTTTGAAAGGTTCAAAGTAAAATGTTTGGACTCTTGAATATTCATATATAATTTTAATTGAAATGAAAATAAAACGGTTAATACATTCATGGTCAATTCTTCCTGGACCCTAGTTATGTAAGCCTGGCCCTTCTGATCTCGAAGATAACTACAAGCAGGACTGTGTTTGGCATGCTCCTTCCAAGGATCATCATTCCTTTTCCATCGACACAAGCTTATCTTGCATGTATTGCAGTGGAAAATGCCATCACCTTCAAACAATTAAAAGTTTGTGGTATTATAAATGTATAAAGTATGCTGTATTTATCCTGCAGAAAGTTCAGAGAGCCATCACTCCATACACATTCTGACCAGAAAAAGGGGGGAATGATATTGTACTGCTGGACGATAAAACAGCATTCATTGTATTTCTACTCAACAGCAATAGATATAAGTGACTTTATTACACAGAATTGGTGACTTTATTACCCAGCATTATTGATTTCATTACCCGGCATTGGTGACATCATTATCCAGCATTGGTGACATCATTACCCGGCATTGGTGACATCATTATCCAGCATTGGTGAAGTCATTACCCGGCATTGGTGACATCATTATCCAGCATTGGTGAAGTCATTACCCAGCATTGGTGACATCATTACCCGACATTGGTGACATCATTACCCAGCATTGTTGACTTCATTACCAAGCATTTGTGCCTTCATTACCTATTGGGGCTGTGATTGGCTTAATTTTTCTTATTGTTTTAGTTGTGATGTCGTAACAACATGGTACCATATTCAAAAGTACCAAAGTTAGGTGATAAACAGAATCTTACACTCTTTCCACTATAAGACCTTCTATTTTTGTTACTGACTGATAATACAAATCAACTTAAATTACTTATTTATATTCTTAATCACATATAAATGAAAGTCCTGCCACTGCCATTTCATCAAGGTCTGGTATGTTGCTTGGATCTTCAACAGCAAGATAGGACTGGCTATTGAGTGACTGCTGTGTGTTGTCTGGCACCATCTCCTCAGCTATAAAGGAAGAAGAAGATCAGCCATATTCTTTAAAATACATTTCCACTCACAAGAATATCATATTTGATAGCATGAGACCAATGGACCTTAATGGTCATCTGACCAAAATACACAGAGAATTTAGCTGTGCTCTTCACAAAATACAAGACAGAAAAAATATTGTGAAAAATTCAACAATCTTTTGGAAATGATTGCCCTCTCCCAAATATGTTTCAGGCCAAATTAGGGTGAAAATTGTTACAATATATGAGCGGCAAACAAGAGGCTCATGTGCCTTAAGGTTAATCTGACTTTAAAGACCTATATATGAAAGAGGCATAAATAAATTAAAAATAAATTGCTCAACAACTCATTTTTATAACTTGATAGTGTGATGCTATAGTGTGAATATGAATTTTAACAATTATGAGGAGACTTTGTTGGGGTAGTGCTATGGTGCTATGGTAAATTCTGATTTAAGCTGATCATAATATGACCAGTATCTAGTTGACCGGGAAGAACCTGGTAAATTGCTTACATTTACTGCAGGACATATAAAATAAGATGCCCAAGAATTTTGAATGAGACAAACAATTTCTGAAGTAATTTCCCTCTTGGGTCTCAACCTTGCTGTTAAACAGAAATCAGATTCACTATTCGTAAAAATTTGCTTCAGACCAAACATGGACAATATCCTTGTATGGAAGAAGAATTTTTAGATTACTTCAAACACATTTGATTTTAAAAAATAATTGGACACAAGTTATGACAACCTAAACATGTCATTTAAATTAATGTGAAAGCATTTAAATTATTGACAATGTATATGATGTTAAACAAATATTTTCAAGTAAAAACAAAAAAGAAAAGGAACATTAATATGATTGACTATACAATAATCGTAACATTGGTTATACCATTGGTTTACCAGTACCCACAGATTGACTATACAATAATCATAACATTGTTTATACCATTGGTTCTACCAGTACCCACAGATTGACTATACAATAATCATAACATTGTTTATACCATTGGTTCTACCAGTACCCACAGATTGACTATACAATAATCATAACATTGTTTATACCATTGGTTATACCAGTACCCACAGATTGACTATACAATAATCATAACATTGTTTATACCATTGGTTCTACCAGTACCCACAGATTGACTATACAATAATCATAACATTGTTTATACCATTGGTTCTACCAGTACCCACGGATTGACAATACAATAATCGTAACATTGGTTATACCATTGGTTTACCAGTACCCACAGATTGACTATACAATAATCGTAACATTGTTTATACCATTGGTTCTACCAGTACCCACGGATTGACTATACAATAATCGTAACATTGTTTATACCATTGGTTCTACCAGTACCCACGGATTGACTATACAATAATCGTAACATTGTTTATACCATTGGTTCTACCAGTACCCACGGATTGACAATACAATAATCGTAACATTGGTTATACCATTGGTTTACCAGTACCCACAGATTGACTATACAATAATCGTAACATTGTTTATACCATTGGTTCTACCAGTACCCACGGATTGACTATACAATAATCGTAACATTGTTTATACCATTGGTTCTACCAGTACCCACGGATTGACTATACAATAATCGTAACATTGTTTATACCATTGGTTATACCAGTACCCACAGATTGACAATACAATAATCGTAACATTGGTTATACCATTGGTTTACCAGTACCCACAGATTGACTATACAATAATCATAACATTGTTTATACCATTGGTTCTACCAGTACCCACGGATTGACAATACAATAATCGTAACATTGGTTATACCATTGGTTTACCAGTACCCACAGATTGACTATACAATAATCGTAACATTGTTTATAACCATTGGTTCTACCAGTACCCACGGATTGACTATACAATAATCGTGACATTGTTTATACCATTGGTTCTACCAGTACCCACGGATTGACTATACAATAATCGTAACATTGTTTATACCATTGGTTCTACCAGTACCCACGGATTGACTATACAATAATCGTAACATTGTTTATACCATTGGTTCTACCAGTACCCACAGATTGACTATACAATAATCGTAACATTGTTTATACCACTGGTTATACCAGTACCCACAGATTGACTATACAATAATCGTAACATTGTTTATACCACTGATTCTACCAGTACCCACAGATTGACTATACAATAATCGTAACATTGTTTATACCATTGGTTCTACCAGTACCCACAGATTGACTATACAATAATAGTAACATTGTTTATACCATTGGTTCTACCAGTACCCACAGATTGACTATACAATAATCGTAACTTTGTTTATACCACTGGTTATACCAGTACCCACAGATTGACTATACAATAATCGTAACATTGTTTATACCACTGGTTCTACCAGTACCCACAGATTGACTATACAATAATCGTAACATTGGTTATACCAATGGTTATACCAGTACCCACAGTTTGTATTACATGTACGTGTTGTTACATTTACAATCTAAGTTACATAAATAGTGTCTGACAGATATCATCGTTAAATTGTTACATTAGATAATGTTATTGAAAATGACCAGATTTCATTTGTTATATAATCTTGTACGTATAAACATATATCATTGTTATCATTAAAACTTTTTTTTTATTCGTTCAAGACACATGTTATTATATATTGATCACTAATAGAATCTTTCACACCCTTTGGGGTGAGACAGGGGGATCTCAACCCAAGGGGGGGGTTATTAAGTAAGCCTCGTGTTTGACAGCTTAATAATCCACCCGAGGGTTGAGATCCCCGTCTCATCCCAAAGGGGGTGAATGATTATTTTTCTCTTACCCTGTTCCACCGCTGATTGTAAATACGAAATAGAATGTTTGTAAACAAAAACTCATAGACAACGTATGAATATAGTGATGAGGCCGTCTCAGCCGTGTCACGCTTAATTGTGATATCCCGCACAAAAATGTAATTCCCAGTAACGGTACAGTAAAACATAAAAAGGCATAATATTACTAAAACAATTTTAATGTGAAAGTATGGATGAGATAACTTCAATATATACACAAAATCAACACATATTATTAAATCGTTATTTTACAATGACGTCATTTACATGTCAAGTTCCACTTACGGGTCAAGATAGTGACGTCACATTATTGTTGAGAACGCACAAGGAGCGCGTGTAGCTTGTCTCAACCCTAGGGTGAGATCGAGAAATCTCAAACCGTTAAAAACTATCCCTGTCCAGGGTAAGAGAATAAATTATCTACATGTATAGGGTTTTAATTACATTTAGTCCACATTCACATAAATATAGTCCTGCTACAATCATCGTTATCAGCACCATCGCACATCAATATCAGCACCTTCACATTAACAGCAGCAAGCCATGATCACACACATTAGTATCAACAACATATCACACCTCATAGAAAGGCAACAGTCATCATTATCATCAGCATAATCCCAGTACATCACCATCAGCATCTCTGCATATCAATTTCATCACAGACCACCATCAGAAACATCAAAACTTCTAGAAAGATAGCCAACATAATTAACTTTAGCATCATCATTAGAAATCAGCAACATCATCCACTCAACATCAGCATAATCACACCCCAACATCAGACACATACCAACATCGCCAGCATCACACCCCAACATCAGACACATACCAACATCACCAGCATCACACCCCAACATCAGACACATACCAACATCACCAGCATCACACCCCAACATCAGACACATACCAACATCACCAGCATCACACCCCAACATCAGACACATACCAACATCACCAGCATCATACCCCAACATCAGACATATACCAACATCACCAGCATCACAAGTTTTAGAGAAACGACAATCATACTTATGTTAGAACACACTCACAAAGATCAGCAACATTACACCTCTTCAAAGACAATAATCATCATCAATATTTTCATCATCAGATGTTAACATGCCCCAATTATCAACACCACTTTTACACTAGTAGTAAAGCAGTAGCCATCATCATTCTTCTACTTTATCACTTTCAGGCAAGCTGCACTTAACATCACAATCACCATACATAGGCATGCTGCACTTAACATCACAATCACCATACATAGGCATGCTGCACTTAACATCACAATCACCATACATAGGCATGCTGCACTTAACATCACAATCACCATATATAGGCAAGCTGCACTTAAAACCACCTTCATCATACATAAGCATGCTGCACATAACATCACCATCATCATACATAGGCATGCTGCACTTAACACCACCATCACCATATATAGGCAAGCTGCACTTAAAACCACCTTCATCATACATAGGCATGCTGCACTTAACACCACCATCACCATACATAGGCATGCTGCACTTAACACCACCATCACCATTTATAGGCAAGCTGCACTTAAAACCACCTTCATCATACATAAGTATGCTGCACATAACATCACCATCATCATACATAGGCATGCTGTACTTAACACCACCATCACCATACATAGGCATGCTGCACTTAACACCACCATCACCATATATAGGCAAGCTGCACTTAAAACCACCTTCATCATACATAAGCATGCTGCACATAACATCACCATCATCATACATAGGCATGCTGCACTTAACACCACTATCATCATACACAGACATGCTGCAATCATTCACTATCATCATCATCATCCATACACAGGCTTCATTCAGTCATCATTTGGTAAATATTAATTATGGACTCATAAAAATATATGTTATCATAATTGACATTATTGTTACGATCGTATACATTACCTTCCAAAGAGATTGTAGGTATACTCAAGAATAATAATAGAAAAACAGTAAACTAGCATTACACCACTATACCACTAAAGATAAATATCCCTATATTTGCATAGGCACATAATCAAAAACATGTCTTTTTTTTTATATCAATTTAATGGAAAGAGAGAGATGGACTAACATAGACAAAGCTACGGTATGTTAACACAGTATATGTGTTACAGTTTTCCCTGGTACAAAAATGAATTTGTGGTCAAAATGTAATGTAGAACTCTATACTGAAACTACTGAAGTTAAGAATAATTAGTAACTTTAATTGTAACAAGAAAATACTTGTCCATGTTGAATCTTCGAATTAAACTGTTAAACCCATTTCTTTCTACCTGAAGGAATTTCATTATTTTTCATAAAATATTTATAACTTGGACAAACGTATTGGAAAATCACCACAGATATACAATTTATATTTTTGTTTTCTCTTATACTAATTGCTAAAATTTCCATGCATAATATGAAGATGTTCAGTGTGATTGTATATTGTATAACTTGATAGCTTCAAGTTCTTTTTCTTATTTGTAAGCTCGACAGTATCAGTATCATCCCTATCCTCTACTTCCTGTATATATTTCTTGAGATTACTTTCTCCACTATTTCTGGTTTTGTCCAAATAAGATGAATAAGCAACTGATTTCCCCCTGATTGCCATCAAAAGCACCTCTAAAACCAACTGATCATTAACCGTAAATTGCAATTCTGAGTCTAAAACTTTTTAAATACAACACTGTATTATCTAAGTGGTAGACAGGAAGGCAATATCATCAATACAGGTCTTAACCATTTTCAGATATACCATATCCTGTAAAAGAGAATTGTTGAATTTCCAGAGACTGTTACCTTTCCTAAATTTATTGAATTTTGTACTGATTTTTGGGAATGAATAATCTGATTTATAACCAGGGTCTATGGAAGAACGTACAATACTAGGTAATAAACTATCTGCAAAAAGGAAAAACTCTAACCTTGCCTGTTTAATAGGATTATTCTTTCTCCAAGTATATCTTTTTGAATCTTCATGTTGTTATCAAAAAATATCTACTAATTTTCCATAATTCCCCCTTTTTTTCCCTTAGCTTTTGGATTATTAATAGTTTTTTACTTACTGTCACAATCAATCTCAGGTTTCAATACTAAATTAAAATCACCGCAAATAACAACATCATCATTTCCAACATCTTCAATAACTTCAGTTATATTACTGAAAAAAAACAGGTCTATCCTGATTAGGATCATAAGCCCCATTCACTTCTGTACATATTTTCATTTTCTCTCATAAAATAGGTGTCTTGAAGACAAAACATATCATAAGATTCACTTTTCATTAATTGAAAAACATCCTTTCATTTAAAACGATCTTGTAGACCCTGACAGTTTGCACTTAAATTTGTTATGAAATCAGTTGCAAGGACTGGAGGAGAAAAACCTAGCTGTCAAAAATGAAACCCAAACTTCTAACGTAGAGAGGTCTATGCCAGTCCATGATAAAGTGAATAAAATATAAAGAAGAGCAACAGAAAGAAAGGGAATAAATACCCAGAATAAAAGTTACTATACAGGTCCAAGTCAACAACAATTTAGCAACTCAGCATCCTTAAAAAAAGAAGTAGACTAGTGAGTGGGTTCGCAATTCCTGAAAAGTTAGAAATAACCAAGATCTGTGTGAAACAGCAAAGCCACGAGAAAAATTATTTAGATTTACAAAATTACCGGTAGACATAGTCCTTAGATAAAGCATAGGATAGACTTTCACCAAGCACCTACCGAAAACAGAAAAGTAGAATCTCATTCCGCAAAAAAAATCGGAACACTAATATTAAACAGAAAATTACCAGCGATATATATGTTAACTAGAATAGGCCTACACTCTAAAGTTAGAAAAACGGAAGTAGGTGTATAGTTTAAAAATAATAATAAAAGAGAAAAAATATGGTGTATTTTTAGTTGTGTATAAATAGTAAAACACGAGCAAATTAAATAAATACAAAAGAATACATTTATATATGAATGAACAGTACTTGTCTTAATGTCTTAATCAAAGTTTTCTCACATTAGTCTGATAAAGTGTTTTCATAAATGTTGGTTTAAAGAGAAGAAAACACGAGACATCTCAACTACCTTATTATTAGTCCTTAAATCCCAACATATCATGGAAAACACATTCATGCACAATACCACTTAACACTTCTAAATAATATGTAAAGTACAGTATGTAAAATTGAATCAAGACACGCTACTGTCTGGTGACCGGGCTATATTCCCGGAAGGGTCCATCACCGGTTGAGCAGCCAAATCCAACACTTACAGTTTTCTAGGCCCTTGGGGCAGAAACCAGACATTTATACAGAATTGATTCCCTTTCGCTCAAGAATGCTTCAAACCAAATTTGGTCAAAACCCAACCATTCCTACAGCAAGAGTAGGATTTTAAAGAATTCACAATAGTTTCCTTACAGGCTCTGCCCATCAGCCCTTGGAGGAAAGATCGACACCCAACTTTTTTTAACAAAATTTGTTCACCCAAGGATGCTTCAGACCAAAGGTGGGGTCAACATTTGGCCCCCACATAGATTTCTATGATTTTTTCGCCATATTTAGATACATGAAAATAACCTACAACAGCATAAATGATTGGTCATTATAACTACTTATAGTCATGCTGGACCTCCTTGTACAACACCAGGTTGAGAGACAAAGGTACCCTAACATAATGAGAAATTCTTGCTACATAAGACTTTTAAATGAAAATATTTATATACCAATCAAAGTACATAAAATATCCGTTATTTTGATACCACATATGTTATATTGGCATAAAAATGTAAGCATATTGATAACTTTGATTTTAAAAAACTGCAAAATTTTCACAAAATAAAGAATATATCAAAGTTTGTCAAGTTCATTTTGTACAGTTGCAATCTCAGTCTATATTTCATACTTCTTTAAAAACTTTCTACATATATATGCTGTCTATTGAATAAATTTTAAGTGATTTCAAAACAAGTGAAACATATTTTTAGCAATTTAATCATGCTTATTGCATAATTTGCAATAATCAAGATAAGATTTTTGTTGTTTTTTGTGGCAAATACTGCTATATTTACCAGTTTTGTGTAGTACCAAAGCACATTAAGTATTTTGTATTTCTTTTAAAATTAAATTCAGAAGGTATAACTGGACATGGTGTTTTATGCACTAGAAATTTATCCTCTAAAGAAAAACTGACAATTTAGTTTGTATTATAAAAAACTAAACGATTAAATAATCAGTATTACTGATAATATGTTATCGTCATTCCACTTTTCTTCGTTTATCATTAAACATAACAATATTGGATATAAATTAGTTAGATATTCTAATTAATAGTTAATAAATGGGGCCAGAAATGATAACCTTGTCTGACACCTGAATGTGCAAGTATGTTAATTTCCTGAAACATATAAAGGTATTAGTATAAAGTATTCATACTAGTTTTGTTAAGTATCTATAGACAATTACAAAGACTAAGTTACACTTATGTCAGGACATTCTGTATCAAATTCAAATTACTGCAAATCTCCTAACAAGTTTGCTAATAATCATGTCAGACGTGTGCATTGGTTGTGGTTGCAAAACCAGGTTGAAAAATTTATCTCAAGGAGCCCAAACTCAAGTAAGACATGTATATTTACCCCAGTATAACTGGCTGCACCATCTGCTGACTGCCGGGATCATTAGTATTACAGAAGAAAGCATATTATGTGGAAAGTGCTACAAGCGGTACCTCAAGCAAAGGCCATTGCAGTCTTAATTGTATGAACTTTCTGGTATGAGCACTCCAGATGACCAGGCGAATGATGCAGATGATGCTTCCACTGATTTCATGTCATCCAACCAACTACCACTAATCTCTGTTGAGAAATTATTTTATGTTGGCAGTTCACATAAAAGATGTGTCATATGTGGAAAAGAGGGCACTGGGCCTTGCACTATACCCCAGCGTGC